TGGAGCTTGACTCGAGCTCCAATTATAGAAAGACACAACTCTTTTAATACAAGGTTGTCTGCATCTCTGAAGGTGTACACAGTGGAGCCTTGGGCTAAATGCTAATGTCAGAATGCAAACATGCTCACATGCAGACTTCTAAAAAAAGCAGTAACTCAAAGCAAATTATCATTCTGTTCATATGCTAAGTATTAAATTTAAATGCAAATATCTCCTACACTGATGTTAATCACTGTCATTGGGATTTAGTCTTACAAGTATGCAAAAGAGAAATGCAAAATGACCACAATATGCCTCAGTTTTAGTGGTAATTACCCCAAATATTGATCATACAGTCCTGTTAGAGAGAGGTACTTACAGGTTTTATTTTCAAGGCACAGTCACTTGAATGTTATTTCATGATCATTCATCAATTTGTTATTAAACCTTTCCAACAACCTTGCCGAACAAACAGACAAATCTACCTTTATCTCATTTCAGCTTTACAGTCTTTTTAGCTTTTGTTATACTTAGTCTTTTCTTATTTAATCTTTTAGGCCTTTTATTGTTTTTCTCTTGCTCATTTCTTTTTATATTTACTATCCTGTTTTCTGCTTCTTTTTTTTTTAATTGCATTTTCTTTTCTTACCTATTGTATGTTTTTATTTTGGTCCTCATGGTCTCACTTTATGTTGCATAGTTCTTGTATGTCTGGGATCTTTATGACATGAAAATGGCCTTTAATTCTAAGGCCTTGTTTTAACTGAGCTTTTGTTTTTATGTGTTTTCATTTCCATGCACTGACATTCTGTGCTTTATGACTTTTTGTCTAGCACTTTGTAAACCTCTGTTTTTAAAAGTGCAAAAAAAATAAGGTAATTATTATTTATTACTTTTCCCACTGCAAACACTGATGGTTAGTTAATATCTGTCACAAGGCTGGTTGTGCAAATAAAATGGCTAACATCTTTAGAAAAGAGTGACAGCTCTCTCTGGAAGACATGGATTCAACACAGTACTAAAATGTTCCAGCAGTGAATGTAGGTCATCAATTTGAGAGTTCAATTAAATGACACAGAATCATTTCCCAAATTTTCAATACAACATTTTTGCTCAAAATGTTTTCCACTGCTGTCTAAATTTGATTAGGTTGGTGTCTAAGGGCTTGATGTTTTTACCCACTGATATCTTTCCTTTAAGGTACAGTATGTAGTATTTGGTGGCATTTAGCAAAACAGACTTGGCAGAAATAGGATATAATACTCTTGAGAACACTTAAAGTAGTGTACTAGTATCCTAACATTTTGTAATGTCAACTTAGAATGAGATTTATTATCTGCATAGTAACAGGTCCTTTTCCATTGAGGCTGCCAGCTTGCCATGTGACAGTAGCTTAGAACAGACAAACCAGTCATGGCAACAAGTGTGTTTTGTATTTGGTAAGTGGCTGCCTTAGTTCAGATGGAGGAGAAGGAGAAAAAAAGAGTCTTTTTTATGCATGGAAACAATTTTAGAAAGACAGGATTTTTTTTTTTTTTTTAATCGTAAAGGTTGGACAAATAAAGATTCATGCTTCTGTATTGCAAGAGCCTCGCCAACAACAGGAGTGAGCAAGGGCACATTTTAGTCTCAGATGTGACCACTTTGAACCGCTGTATAATCTATTTTCTGCAGACTGTACCTTTAAATCTTGAGCAGTAGAGGGAGGTTTACCAAATAATGTGGTAAAGGCAAGTGCATATCACCCATTAAGCCTGAGAACTGGATGTTACATCTACTCTGCTGATGTTCGAGTGCTAGGTCAGAGTGAAACTCAGTGCTAAGCGCCTGTTAGACACAACGAAAGTCTGTCAGAGATACAAGAGCTGTCCTTTCGACATTTTAAAAAATGCCACGTATGACAACCTCTAAAAGCTACAACAAATCTGTTCCCTCTGCTTCATGTTGTAAAAAGCCTTTTCCTTTCAGAGGCAGCATGAGAGTGACAAACCAGAGAGCAGTCTAGACATTTTAGCATCTTGAACATCAGAGCGGTGTGTTCCATTTTTTTCCCTTCATGCTAATTCAGACAGGGTCATGGTGTTGAGTGTTTGCTTGAGTGCTTCGCTGTGGGATTAGGAGATTCAACAGGCAGACAGCCATTTGAATAATTGTTTTCAAATGTCTTTCTTAATATCAAGATCCCATTACTTACTATTCTGCACACTCTCCGGTGATGAGCCCTGGGACTGTTAAGTTTGTGTGTATGCGCCTGTCTAATGGAAGGCACTTATGCAAGGCCATGGAGACTCACTCAGGATGCGACATAAATGGAGGCACAGAACACAGAAACACAGAACACTCTATGTGGATTGGCTCATTAACTGCACAAGTGGAAAGACTACACCGCAGCCACCTTGGGATGAAGATAATGGCTCCGCTGTCATCTGTAAGAGCCCTGAGGTGTGAGCGAACAGGCCTTCTAAAAACAGTGCAGATACATATACTGAACAAAAAACAATTATATACTGACTAAAAGACATAAAAGTGACAGAAAATGACATGCCAGCGACACTGATTGTCCAATGTAATATCAATATTTCATTGTTGGTATGGAAGAATGGCCATTGTCATAACATGAGACAATAGGACTCCACAAATCCCTGGGATAAAGGTTGAAGGATGAAGGCTGGGAACAAAGATGGAGGTCTGGTTTTATTTATCAATTTTGTTTTCTGTTCTGTTTATTTTTAAATTTCCATTTTACTTATTATTTTCTATTTTGACCCCTTAAGCAATAATTCAGTGTCACTATGTCTCCTTTAACTGCCACACAGACAGAGATGTGCACACAGATATGCCTTCTTTTGAGACAAGAGGATCTCAGAAGGGCTGGGTGGTGGTTCAGTGGTTAGCACTGTTGCCTCACAGCAAGCCGAGTTCCTGGTTCCAGTTCCTGGCCAGGCAGGGGCCTTCCTGTGTTGAGTTCTCATGTCATCCCCGTGCATGCATGGGTTATCTGCGACAAAAATATGCTCTTCAGGTTAAGTGTGAGATCAGTGAAATCACTTTTGATAAACTGACTTCGACTCTGTGATTTCCCTCTCATTGAAGTCGTCATATTTTGCTTACCTTATTTCATCTCTATCTCCAATTGAATTAATTTAACATCTTTTCCTCTCATTTTGTTTTATTGATTTAGTTCATTTCTTTATATTTTAAATCATCTTATATTTAACCCAGTTTTTTTATGTTTAGGATTCCTAGTTCCTGTTTTTGCCTTCAATCGTCCATTTATTCTAACTTATTCTACAGCTTCGACACTAATGTTTCTTTCTCTTTTTACAGCTTTTATCTCACCCTCGAGATTTCCACTTCCCTTTGCTGCTTTATTCCTTGGATCTTTTCCCTTTGGGTCTTTGTCCCAGAGGTGTAGGTTAGGTTTTTTGGTTGTGGACCAGTCTGTTTTGAGGTGTGGGGCAGCTTCTGAAACTAGTGAGAGGTTTGGCTAAGTAATCCATCACTCTGAAAGATACCCCAGCTTTTGTTTATTATTCTTTTATGTTTTCTCCTATTGCACTGTATGTAGTCACAGAAATCATTCTGTCTTCGTTTTCTTTAGGGGCATTTCTTTCTGGGTGAGCATTTCCAAGTGTGTGGCTCTGGTTATTTCATTCTGCAGTTTGACTTCCTGTTGAAAGTTTGATGCCAAAACATATTAAAGTTTATTTTTACGGTCTACTTTACCAAGCCATGAAAATAAAGTTATCCCTTTAAGTTGCCTCAGCAAAGTTTCACTGGCACAAGAACATTTGATCATTTGAATGGAGCAACAGGAGATTTTCTCCGTGGGATTCTGTAGAAGCATGCATAAATATTCAGAACAGAATGAGGAAAGAGATCATATGTACAGCTTTGTCCACAGGGGTCACCAAAAACAGCTACTCTAAAAGTTTCAGGGTACTATTATAGATTTTTGGTTACTTGGATGTCCTGCAAAGAGCTGGAAAAAAATCAGACATACTTAGATCCAGCCTTTATTTTATTGGATATTTTAAAAAATATAGCATCTTTTTGCTCATAAAGAACATAAAATATTCACAGCTAATGGCTTATTTAGTTGTTTGATGCCAGGCAAGAAAGATGTTCTAGCTTTATTAGAGCTTTACTGATATGGTGAGGGAGACATGATGAGTTGTCAGCCAGAGTGGGAAACAAAAACACTATGATGCCTGTAAATCTAAGGGGAACTGCAGGGTTTATTGCAAAATGGTTCTGTCACTTCATTCATCCAGAACCCCACATTAACATGGCACAAGGTAATTTTTTGATTTGTTGATAAAAATGACTAGAGCATCTTTATAGGCAAATACACTACCACACAGAAGATAAGCTCAAATACATAATGTGTTAAAGCTGTGACGGTTCATTAAACATGACAAGACATCAGCATCAAGTCCATCCAACTGCCCATAATTCAACTTCATTTTCAGTATTATAACCACCTTCAGTATGGCAAACATCAGACACCCTGTGGTGTCTGGAAACAGCATCTCACTTATCAGCCCACACACGTCACTCTCTGGTATTACTGAGAATAAGACGAGCCCAGACCATCAGACAAACAAGCAATCACGACACCAATAGATAATCTATTACACTTGTTCAATGTTTTTCTTTTTCTGCCCCCAATTTTCCTTCTTTTCGTTTTTCTCGCCACTTTCCTCTCCCAAGGCAGAGCCGGTTGCTAAGCAACATGCTCAACACAACATCCCAGCTCTCCGACTTGGCTCTCTACTCAGCTTGCCCCTGTGGTTTCAGACAATCAAATACATGAGTGTGTGCACTTTCATACAGAATGCGAGTTGGGTAGGTGAAAGCTATGAATAGTTTCCATCTCATAAGCGACAGCCAAAAGTCCCTTTAGCCTTTCAAGAGCTGCCTCTTGACTCAAGTGTAACTTCATCCAGCATTCAGTTTGGATTTATTACAGGGCATCCAACTCTGGTCCGCTTTAAACACAAAGGACAAAAGCAAATAAGTCAGGTTGTGAAGAGATATGCTTTTAATTCACTCCATCTTGAATAAAGCCACAGAAATCCCTCTGTTGTAGACACAGTTTCCTAACAAGAGACTACTATAAGTGGACATCAAGGCCTACATGGTTCCCACTGCTCCCTGACGGAGCAAATCTCTGTATTATTGTTGGGTAGTTGCCTCATAGCTGTAGCTTTGATTTGTTGGCATCAAATTTAAGTTCCAGGAAGTGAAACCTGAATCAACACATGGATTCATTGGTTTCTAAAGTTACACAGCTTAGGTTTGGAGCCTTCTGTGCTCCTTTAAATCCACCTGCACAGAAACCCTACAACAAAGAACACACCAACATTAACAGATACCCCTTGACTGCCATACATTGAACATCATATGAACACAATGTGTTTTGTGCTGCCACATAACCATTCAAACAGCTTTTAATGTAATCTGAGCAGTTTTTCTCTCAAAAATAATCGTCATAAGACATCCCTTGGTGAACCAAACTACTTGATGACCTTCACAGATTGTTATGAGTTTACAGTAATAAGCTAGCTGCTTACACAGTATACATCCAAAGAATCAGAATGATCATCGTGGCTTTACAAAAATATACATTTGTGTGCATGCACTCTGCGACACAACACTAGGTGCGTCCTACAGTTTAAAAAAAGAAGGTAAAAACAGGAGATCCCATCAGTTTACAAAAGCAAAGCTCAAGAACAAATGGCACTTACTGTTACTATAGCAGTTAGGAATCTCCAGGGCAGCATTGCAGCAACACACACGTAAACAAACACTCCCACATTTACAGCTCTGATCAGTTCATTGACAATGGGGCGCTTCACATAAGTCGTGGCCTTTGAATCACCCAAACTTCTCCAAATCAACACAATGCTTCCTCATTAAAGTAAAGTTTAAAAATATATCATTTATAATTCAGCTTGGTGGTGCAAGGAGAAAAAACACAATATCAAAATGATAAAAATTAGAGGCCACAGTCAACTTATTGTGCAACCCACAGGATTTACAACCTGAGAAAGGCTTTAAAGAAAACCTCCTTGGTTTTAGCATTGTCTACATTCTTGACATTTAGTTCCAATTCCTATTCAATAATTTGGCATAAAAAAAATCAACTCAGTGAAGAGCCCTGAATTTTTGCACTGATCTGATGTTCAATATTTCACAATCCTTTCGTTGTTACTTTGGAAGCAAGAATACTGAGTATGCAGATGTGCTAAACCTGAACATGATATGTGGTGAAACTTATTCAGACCGTAGACTGGGTTATTTTTGAGTTTTTAATTCCCACAAATACTTCCCACCTCAAATTCCATGTTGCAGATGGCTAAGTGAATCTGACCGACCCATAATTGGCCTTTTCTGTGACAAACAATCCCAAAATAAATATCACATGGCAGGTTCAACTCAATCTGTGTCCTCTGGCTGACCTAACACAACCTCAGGCCTCCACCTCTGCAGAACTCTGCTCCCGGCCCTCCTCTGCTGCAGGACCGAGTGGTCCTGCCCACCACAAAGACAGGGTGTTATCTTGTCTGATCTCGTGCGGTGACATCACGGCTTCTCCTCCCTCGCCGTCAGAAGCAGAGTCACCCTCGCTGTCGCCGGGCCATGGGAACTGGCGCTGCCCGCTGGATGTTGCCAACAGTGGCATAAAGGGATGAATACTGTGGAAGAGAATGATTCAATTTAGAGCCGATCCCGATCGTACCCCTTAGCCCTCAGTTTTGCACGTTCACATCAAGCGAAGTGGTATCCTAACTCTCTGTAAGGTTAAGGGGAAGGGCTAAAGGCAAGGGGTACACAGCCCTTAAAACAAAGACAAACCGGGACCTCACTTGAAAGCAAGGGGTATGATTTTGAGATGATTTTCATAGTAATGACACTTTTTTTGTTTTGTTTTTTTGTAATCAGATATTCAATCCTTTGCTACTCCATGAAAATATTAGCAATGTTTTGAACTGTTTGTGTTTTAAAATTGTGCGTTATGACAAACTAGCTAACAAAGCTATAGCTATCGATAGCTACAATGTCAGCGAGACAAATTCACAGCTCGCGAACTTTACTACAATGTACTGCATTTCCTTAATGATTGGACAGAATGATCATACAGCTTAGCATTATTCAGTAGATTAATAACCTCTAACATAGAAGCTACATCAGGAGCTTCTACGTATGCTCTTGTATGAGTAAATTACTGTTTTATGTTGTTTTCAACTGCTATTGCTAATAACAGTTAATAGGGGCTAAACATTACAACAGTAGAAGTTCTTTTCCGATTTGTTTACCGGTATTGTCGCATCAGCCTACAACACAGCCAGCAAGCGGCAAGCACACTGTATGAACAACTTGGTTCCGCCTCCTGCCAGTATACGGATTTGAAGCCAAAAAGCTCTCTGTAATTCTGCATTTTTTTCTCCATTTCCTGAAACCAACATTGCGCAGTAGCGTTATACACTCCCCTTGGTGAGCTACGCAATCTTCGTACACCCATAGGCTGTATCAAATGTCAATCATAGAAAACATGAACCCCCTAATCACTTTTAAAAACAGAGCTGTACAGAAAAAAAGAGTACTTGAGTACAAACCAGTCCTTGCCAACATCGCTTGTGTGAACACACGCTGCGCTACAACCTCACAATTGAAGCCCACCTGATACCGTTGGTGCAGTCCCAATGGGCCTTGAACCTGAGCTGTGGTTGCAGCAGCTCCTCTTCACCATCAGGTGGAGCAGTCTGGGAATCCCATACTGACACCACTCCCTCTGTGTCACCACTCAGCAGGTACCTCCCCGACCTTAGCAGAAAAAAGTTCAAGTAAAAAGTTTGTCAACAATCAACTACACACAAAAAAACGGAAGTTGGTTTATTAGCATTAACACACTCATTTGAAAACTAAGAATATAGTCAGTATAGTTAGACTGACTTTCTTTTGGACAAACTAGATACACATGGATGTATATAGTAGGTAGTCTACATCACACACAACAAACTTACAGGTCTAGGTCAAAGTAGATGCGCTGGTTTGTCGCTACGTTCCTCTTGAGCGAGAACACTACCTTGCCCGGCTCCCTGAGGTCCCAGCACAGAATTTCTGGATCCTGCTCATGCAAACACAATTTCAGAATTGTAGCAACCTTTGACTAGAGTTCAGTTCATCTTAGCATCATCCTTCAATACTGTGATAATGAAAGCATCTCATTACATCAGAACTGCCTTTAAATAGTAACTTAAAATAGTCCTGCTTGGTTACTGACAAAAGTAAAGTAAATAATTTTGCTTTACCAAAAATAAACATCCCTCAAAACCTCTGAATCACTACACATACAAGTTATGTTGCGTGACCAGTGTGAAAGAAAGATGCTCTATCATTACCGTTGACGTTAATAGAATCCTTTTACACCACAGAACCTGATGTAAACAGTTGTGACAGTTTTATCAGAATAAATATATATTCCTTGTCATTCCAAAAAGTACTGATAATCTAAGCAGCATCACCCCCTACACTATTAATGAGAGCTCTGACAAAGGTCAAAGTTGCCTCATGACATTTCTCAAAGGGGTACTTCTTGACTGTAGTCTTTGCAATTGTTTACTTCGTCTCCTCAATCATACACACACACACACACACACACACACACACACACACACACACACACACACACACACACACGTAGTGACTACTTGCCTAAAGGTAAGAGTGCTTTAGTGGGGGGGGTAAGAGCAGTATGAACCAGTGCAATACTGGTATGTATGATTTCATTCAGCGTTACAAATGAATACTCTCGGAAATCTATACACAGTGTTGTTCACTCTGGTGAACAACTGCTCACTATATGTCTCAAATTGTTTATTACAGCAGCCAAAGTCAGATTTCAAGCACTCAGTCAGCATGGCTAATGCTCCCCCCAATTCAAATGTAGTTAGCAGCGCTGATGAAGCCAACTCTTTTGAACTTTTGAAGTAGTTATATGAGCAAATCAGGACAGATTCTGAGCAGCTAAAAACTCATTTGGCTTCAGAGAGGTGTAGCTCTTTGAAAATGGAGAATCATTAACTTTCTGTGTCTATTTGGTGTTCCTTCACCTTTAGCTTTCTTGTTTTAGGGTGTGTGAAAAGCACAGCATCTTTTACGAAGCACATTTCAAAGCTGCAGATTTTTTTCCATATTTATTTTATAAAACATACTTAAAAGGGATGTTCTTGTCCTTTCAGCTTTACATCTGTAAAAAGCAGTTTTCATTTTTTCTAAGAAATAGCAATGCAATATTGAGGGCCAGGGATTAAGGCTCTACAGAAAAAGAGAATTTGGGCCCGGCTAGAAAAGATGAACATAAACCAGCTTATGTTTGGACCATGAACTTGGTTCAGGATTTGAAAAAGGAAAAAAGAAATTCTGAATGTGAGGAGGTTGATTTGAATCTGTGTGAACTGAACTTTGAGCTCGCTCATTTATAGTGTGAACTTTGAAAACACAGACTCCAGTGAGTATGAACAGGCTGTTATTGTGAAGTCTGTCCTCTCTTCACACAGACCTTCTGTGAACTATTGATCTGCACTTCTGACCTTGTGTCTAAACTGTAGATAACTCAACTGGCAGAGTGACTTTGCATGTTACAGAATAACTTTGTAGACTCTAAAATGGTTAATTAGTTCATATTCAACCTGAACAGAATGACATTAGATAAGAAGGATGAATGAAGGGCACTGACCAACAGGTTAAGGATAACTGAATCTCTCAATCTGCATCAAAAGAACATTGTGGACAGATGGAGTGATGTCAAACTAAGAGAAGACTCCTGACACTTTCTGATTGATTTGTTTCCTTGTCATTACAGCAGATTTAGTTTATGGGACTGTGGACAAACTTTAGACATTTATAACACAGAACATACATTATTCTCCCCCCTGCTTGTGATGTTGACATGTAGTTATTGTAAGACTGGTTTGTGCCCAAGTCCCTTTTTTCTGTTCAGCTCCGTTTTAAAAAGTTATTAGGGGGTTCATGTTTTCTATGATTGACACCTGGTACAGCCTATGGGCGTTCAGGGATTGCGTAGCTCACCCGGGGGGATACGCTGTTTGAGCCAAGCGTCATCACAGGGACTCTCGGCGACTGTGCGGCCAAATGCGCGCATCGCTACTGCGCAGCTCTGGTTTCCAGGAAGTGGAGAAAAACCCGGAATTACAGAGAGCTTTTTGGCTTCAAATCCGTATACAGGCGGAAGGCGAAACCAGGTTTTCCATAGTATATACAGTCTATGTGTGGAATGCATTGAACTTTTAGGGGGAGGCCTTGATGTGTTATCATCATATTAGCTTCTGAAGCTGAATCATGACATCAAGGCAAGAAATTAGCAGGAAAACTCTTGTCCCAAAGCTGTGATAATGCTTGTGTAAACCAATTTTCCACAACAACAGAGCAAAGTTGTTTGTTCATTGCTTAGCAAACAAAGCCTTTTGACTGTGTTTGTGATCATCCACAATAAGCAGCAGTGCTGTTACCCACAGGTGTCTGTATGCTAGAGTGTGTGTGCATTCACCTTGCGTCCGCCGGTGTACAGGTAGTTGCCGTCAGGAGAGAAAAGCAGATGGGTGAGGCCTCCGTGATGGCGGGTCGGCAGCAGAGCCAGCAGGGTGCCGTCTTGGCAGGAGTAGAGGCCAGCACAGCGGGAGTAAGAGCCACAGGCGTAAACAGACTGGCAGGGGCTGAAGCCAAAACAGGAGATGATGCCACTTTGGCCCTGCTTCTTCACTGCAGAGAAGAGAAGAGAAGAGTGCAGCATTTGCCAGGACTTCCAGCCTTTTACAGGTTGAAAACACTTAAATCACAGTCACTTCTACTCAAAGTTGACTTTCTGGCAGGCCCTACATTCCTGAGTATGTCTCTAACAAAGAAACATGTTTGGGCAATTATTGCAGAAAATCACTTCAGAACAGCTGATTCTTGATCGGTTTACTCCTCTCACAATTATCACTATTATAGTATATCAGAAACTAATCGCTGGGGCTATGTTTTAGCACATTCAGGGTTTGACACTAACTTTTTTCACAAGGCGCACATGTGCTCCTAAGTTGAAAAAAGTAGGAGCACACAAAGAACTTTAGGGGCACGATGAAAATTGATCAAATAATGTGTGTCTCATTGGACGACATAAGTGCTATTATTTCAAATCAATTTTAGGTCAATTGACATGGAAGCTATTGAAGGAAAACAGACCCTTTTTGAAACCATCAACCGGTAATTCATTGGTGGTCCCTTATTCAACACCTGACCTTGACAGTGAGGATGCCAAGTAGATTTAACCGCGCTGCTGTTGCCATTACCTGATCTCTACCGATGTCTTCTCACTCTCCATAGAGAGTAAGAAGACACCGGTAGAGATCCGGTTAAATCTGGTTAAATCTCCATAGAGAGTGAGAAGACACTGGTACATCCACAGTGAATGTCTGTCAAATATCCAACTTAAAACTAACTTCACTGCGTTATTTACATGAAGAACATTTGTTGCCTCGGCTGGTTTTTTTAATGTGCACATGTGCCCCTAAATACATTTTACAATTGGCACACATTTATAGTTAGTCACAACTGTGAGTGAAACGGCTGCACCGTCGAGCCCTGACATTCCCCACATGGATCACTGAATATATTTCTGAGATGTGTGGCTAATTACACTGACAGTTCAGTTCTTAATAAGCAGGTAAAGAGCGGTTGAGCAGAAAGCAGGAGAACTACAAGAGCGAAATGTTGAGTTGTAACCATGGCAGAGGTGCAGTTGACTTCTTGCCGGGGATGAAAGTGGTCAATCTTGCCAATCCTACTTCCACAACCTTCATTGTTTCATGTTGCTCGTCTCTTTTTGGCTTTATGCATCCCAACATTTTAATCACTGCTGTCTGCATTTTTCTTTTTGTGGGTTCTTGGCAGTCTTCCACAGATGGCTGCTACTTTGACATTCTCCTCTCATTTTGTTTTTATTCTAAAACACTGTCTTTAAAAGAAATCTGTCAAATACTTAAAACATGCTGTCAGTGGGTCTGCCAACAACAGGGCTGTTTAGTGTTTGGTTAGAATTATTTATTAGTCAAGCTGTCCTGGTGCAAATAACACAAAAAGAAAGTCCATGGTGTAGTTGTGGTTAAATTGAACTTGAGTTAAGTTGATGTCTTATCATCGGAATAAAGCAGGATATCATGAAATATTACAACCTACTCCGTACACAGTATAATCAGGAGATTTTGCAACAAACGTCTGCCTGCCAAAACCCCACTGTCCTGGGTAACAGTCAGCTGTGGGGTATGTGCTGGAAGCTCATGTTGCTCACATTAACAAGCAGTCATGAAAGGTAGCTGAGCTCCAGCCAGCAGAGATCAAAACAACACGTGTGGTTCAGAAGCACTCATGAACAACTTAGATCAATGAATAATGAAACCAAGTGTTGGTTAAGAAGATGACATGACATTAGCAGATGTGTTTGTTTTTGCTGAAAGTGCAGCTGGGAATGGGTTTGAATGTGGGTGTTGGAAAGCAGTAGCTCATCCATCTTCCCAGTTCTGTGTACCGCCGATGAATCTTTTAGTGATGTGCAGCCCTGGATTATACTAGCCTACATTCACTCCTCCCTAATGCCAAACTATAGTCCTCATTTGTGCCATTCTGCATTAGTGACCTGGTTGGTCCGATGCTGCCTGATAAGCCTTTATTCTATAAACCTTGCTCCTAAAACTTAAAGTCATAGCGTGAAAACAGAACTCTTGTTGCAAAAAAACATCTCACTGACATTTTGCTTTTGGTGCTTACGCCTGTCAACCACAAAAGGAACTCAGGTTCAGTTCATTTCCGTAGGATTCAGCAGCCTGCCAGAGCACTGAAACCTGTTTGAATAGTGTGACAGACATGAGGTATTCATCACAGTAAACATTTCGTTTCTTTTTTTCTCACAGGCACAGAATAAAAAGTCTCCTTGTTGGTTTGTTCAAGGAGATTTCAGCCTGCGTGTTGTGACAGCTGGCTGTCAAACTGAAACCTTTAAATACAAGAAAACAATCAACTTCACATCATCCTTTTTAAGATGTTCCTGTTTACTTTGTTTGTTTGGTGGGTTGGATTTCAAACAAATATGGCTCGTAGATTCTCCTTTTTTTTTTTTTTAATTATTCTTAGCTTTCAGAGTTTGAAGCGTCCTTGAACAGGGAGAGTTTTCAAAGTAGTCTATGTACTCAAATAGAAAAGCATATTTACTGTAACTTATCATTCACTGGCTGTTGTAGTTCATATAAATTTCAGAAAACTTAAAAGATGACTTATGAAGCCAAGTACCACAGAGGACAAATCTTCAGAAAGAAAACTATCCCTGATATGAAGTAGGTAATACAAAAAAAAACATGTTAAATTTATTGCTTGATTTAAGACTGTTTTATTTAAAGGAACGTTAAAAACTTTATTACCTTTATTATTTTTTATCATGGTTTCATTGCTTTAGTCCTAGGTCCAGTGTTCCCTCATTTTTTTAACTCAGGGTAGCGTTTCCTCAGTCATCTGTGGCAAGTTGAAGAGTCCTAACCTGGTCTGTTGTGTGCGTGAGCATGTGAGTGCTGTGTGTGTTGAATGAGGGTCAGGAGGGTGGGTGGGCTTCTGTATTTGTATTTTTATTTATTCTATTTCATTTAATTTTATTGTTTTTTTGATATCCTGTTTGAATGGACAGCACCTCTGTGTATGAAAAGTGCTTTATACATGAAGTTTGATTGATTGATGGATTGATAAAATCCTCATTTACATGTCAATAAAAAAGCTTTGTAACAAACCTATGGTGGGCCGCTCCTCACAGTCCCTCCCAGGCCGGTCAGTATAGAAGACCCTCACAGTTTTGTCAAAGCCGCAGTAGAGCTGAGCTCCATCAGGCGTGAAGCAGAGGGAGTGGGCTGCTGTCAGCTCATCCAGGTGATTGTAGGGTCGGAAACTGGCTCGAACCTCCCCATAAAATGCATCCCAAACATGGACTGGGTTGTCACGACTACTGCTGGCCAGGCTGTGAATAAAGAATGACAAAAAGAGTGAGAAGATGGGAAAACGATTATTTATAACTTTGTTAAATTTGCTTTGAACTGTGCGCTGATAACAAAAGGAGCTCTCCGCATTCAAAACGTTTGACATTGTTCTTTTTTGATTTTCAAGTAAGAATCTGATTCAAATGACTTCAAAAACATCACAATGTGCTCCTATCATTATCTTGTACCACATCCCAACATTTTAATAAATAACATAATATTTACTTGAATGTTAATTTATCTTTATAATAGGGACGATGCAGTTTAAATTAGTTCCATAGTAGAGCATGAATCTGATGTAAAGGCAGCTGAGCTTTTTTAACGGTTGACTTTCTGCGACACCCTAGAATTAGTGAATTAAACATGTTTACCAAAGAAGGATATGATGATTACATTTTGTGATTACCATCTTTGTCCTCGTGTTTTGACCAATTTTGTAAAGGTAGCCTTTGGCGGGGTGTAGCAGGTTAGGTATGGAGGTAACCTTTGCTGTCAGGTTCAATGTGATGAAAGACTTAAGTATCAAATGCATCATGTGAGATGATCAGGTACACTCCTCACACATCAGAGAGAAACAGCACGTGAAGTTGTGCTGCTCCTTTAGCTGCTTGAAGCTATCATCCATGTTTGAAATGTGCTGACAAGAGGGAATTGGTGTAGACAGAGTGGCTTCAATGTTGCGTGAATGCTGTCAAAACGAAGCACTGATGTGGGCTTGATGTTTCAGTGAAGACGTAGCGTGTCCCTCTGTGTAAAACTAACTGCCTCCTACAATGACATGCTCTGGCTACATCTCAGAGGATACAAAGCTAATCTAAACATTTACATTATGGATGACCCAAAAACTTGTACTAGTCGTTTTCTTGTAAATTCGTCTCTAACCTCTACAGCACTGCTCCCGCCTAGATGTATCAATGCATCAAAACAAACACTCAGCATTGTGCTTTGCCTCATTATGAAGACAAGACCATGGGACATTATTATTGATTCAAATCAGGGCCAAAGACTGAGCCATGCCTTTTTAACTCTAATTACTGGAACTGAACAAATGCCTAAACATCACTGCGGCTCAATTAGACAAAGGAAATTAGCCCCTGCCGCTGCTGCCGTGTTCTGCTATGGCCCCTCCGAGCCGCAGCTTTATTCCAGAGCAGGGAAATGCCCAATTATAATGCTAGACTGCTGCTAGCTTGGAGCAATGCCTAGAACTCTTCCCTCTCTACAGGAGGGGCATCAACAATGCGCAGCTTTTGGCAGACGGAGAGTTCAAGGAGCGCAGGGGGACGATGAGAGACAAAATGGTAGATGTGGGAAGAGGGGGGGAGGGGGCGTCAGTAAAAGCACAAACAGGTTTGCCATACATGTGTTAAATAATCTCCAAAACAGCCTTTTATCTTGCAGCTTTCCCCCTTAATAATTTATTCAGAGCGGATCTGTCCCCCTAGCTGTGCCCTACAGGTGCTCGTCTCTGATAGGTGGCAACAATCTGAAGATGATCTGCTGTTAGCTCCTACTGGCATCCTCCTCTTTAAAACAGGTAGGTCTTTGCACGGCTTTGGCAGACAGACACAGATCTCTCAAGTGGCTCATTGTCCACAGGAGTTTTGTTGATCATTGTGCTGCATGCTCTACTCTCATCTTTGAGCATGCAGCTCCTGACCCTCAACCTCTTCCTCTCGCACACTAAGGGCTGTCTGGTGTTGGGGTGGAGCCGTGCCAATGCTGGGCCTTGATCAGAAGGATCTGTCGGGGGGTGGGGGCTCTAACTGGAGGATGATGGGAGCAAGGGGAGGAGGTCTCTACACGGTGAAAACTGTTGGCAGCTTGACCTCAGCTCGTTAGCACGGACCTACCTCTCTCACTACATACGATATGCATTTTCCATGGTGACGTCTTAGTGTAACTGATGTTGGCACCGCTTCACAGCACTTGCACAACTCGCAGTGATGTCATTATTACCACTTTTTAAAGCCTGCTAAAGCGCGTGCCAGCACACAAATGACAAAAAAGGAGAATGAGATGAAAAGAAAAAAAAACCCAGAGTCAGGGAATCATAAGGCCCTTTAGGTGCTGTCTGGACTCAAGAGAGCTGTTAGCAGGCTGAATCATGCTGAAAAGCACCACAGGCCTCAAACAGCTGAGTGGATTGTGACGGAGGCAAAGGCAGACAAGATGAAGGCCAACTCTTCACTCATAATGAGAGACATCACAAAGCTTTTACAGGGTCTCTCCATGCTGGCAGCTGGCTTCCACAACAAGCGCAAACACCACAGGGATCAGAGAACGGGTCACAAGCATTCAACAATATCTTCAATACCCTGGAGACAAGCTCAAGCATGCAGAAAATCCTCCTAACACTAAACACAGTGTCCTTCTCTAACCACCTAGATTAAAAACACCTATCACTGACCCACACTACCCCAATAAACAACAAACTGACTCATCTGTGACCACATCCCTCACCGTTTGACAGGCTGACCTTCAGAGTGAACTTTAAATGTCTCATCTATCCAGCTGTTAAGAGACAGGGCTGAGGACACTGTTTAGTGACAGATCAAGCTGAACTCACAAGCATGTGTCCGGGTCCAGAGAGTTCATCTTTGGGTACCAGCAGTAGTCGTAGATAGTGTCTCCCTCTGCCATGCGCAGCACTGGACTCTGCCATAGAACAACAAAAGTTAAAGCTGATGACCAGGAGTGTGATTTAGTTGAGGGTCTAGAGAACAAAATCAAAGGAGTTCTTCTGATGTGATATTCTAAAAGTCAAAAGCTAGAGAGAGAAACACAGCAATCAAATCTCAATTTTCTCCCCTTTTCACAAACGCTTTAAGATCTCTGTAATGGAGGAAGCTGGATTATATTTCAATCATTCTTCTTCACTGATTCCACAGCCTGTAACGCAATTACAAGATTGATTCTCTGCTTGATATTTCCTAAAACCTTAATGACATGAAGCCATTTTTTCTACTTCACATCACCGACTATAGAATTTCTCAAACAGCTTTCTGAACATGAGTTAAATGTTTGAGTTATTTTTTTCTGCTTGATTGGAACAAACGTGCATGCAGACATTACTGTAGGTTTGACAGCATCATGCTGGCAGCCGCTGTATAAATGGTCTGACAACAAAACAAAATGTTTGAAAATCAACAAAATATGCTTGTCATTTTAATCCAGTGACATTTCTTACAATTCTGACTGGCTGAAATCTTTGGTTCTTGTGCCATTCAATCTAAATGTCAAAGTTCACACAGATCAGACGACAAATAAGCATTTGATTATGTCAAACAAAAAAAAAAATGAGGACAGATAGGAAATGTTGATTGTGACCTTTATGGTTTTGAATAAAATCAAATGTGGCTGAAGGTTCTCCAAATCTAGAAAATAAAGTGGAAAATTTGAAACATGAAAAGTTTAATACTGAGCATATGCTGGTCTGAGGATTTTTCTACACAAGTCTTTTTAAAGTCTAAGCACTGAGATTTTCTGTGATGAAAGCAGGCCAAGTCCAGATTTTTCAACCCCGGGTGGCTGTCTCTGGGGCAGTGGTTTTCAACCTTGGGGTTCCAGCCTCACAGAATAGCAAGATTATGTCTTTGGTTCGCTGGATCGTTATAGAGAAAGAAATAAAAGGACAAATCAAAAACTGAATATATCTTTGACAGGAGAGTCATTACTACATTAAATCACCTCAACCAGGGTCGTGATTTTTCCTATATGAGCTGTTCCAGACCAGCAGAGTGTTGGCTGTGAAACAGCCGTGAAGCATGGCCGCTCCAACTCATACTGTCATGGTAATCATGCAGGCTGCATGTTGGCTGTGACTTGTGGCTGTCAGCTCATCCTTCTTGATAAACTCTACCCAAAATCAACCCATAAACTAACTATTATTCAAACTCCGGGGTTGTATAAATGCCATAAACTTTGATTTAATCCAGAAAAGAGCAGAGAGGCGTGTGATCTACCCAAATCATAATCAATACACGCAGATAAATTTTGCACACAATCCCTCTTCATTAAAGAGGCAGTTCACTGTACCTATTCAGGGCTGGTTTTAGGAGTTGACCTTCAAGAAAATGATCTCATGTATTTCATTAATCGTATAAAGCCTGTCTCTGTGTGAGCGTGGTAGTTTTAATGTGTTGCTGTGTACAGTTCTTTGTTTGTTAAAGGCCCCCATTATGAAAAATCCACTTTTGGGTGGTTTTCTACCAATAATATGCATCCCCTGGCCGCAATGCATTGCGGGTCGCCACGCATTTTGTTGTAAAATTTCTTCATCTTCTCTTTTAATGTTACCGCTTTTGTCAGGCTGGCATTAATGTACTTAATTCGAGAGGTTTTTTTTGGATTTGGGACTACTTTTCTGGTGGTTTATTTGTACATTTTGCTACCGAGGCTTTGACACCGTGGGTAAGACTACAAGCAGGTTAGGTTGATAAGTACTCGGCTTCGCTCACCTCCACTGAGTGACGCTGCCACTCGTCTTTAAATTATAATTGTGGAACTATTTTTACAGTACCTTACGATTTTATAATCGCGGTCTTTTAATATCGCATATTGCGATTAAATCATATGTCGGCACATCCCTAGCTGATATCCACAAATAAACTGGTGTTTTTGATAACAAACTTCAAATTTACTATTGTACGACCTCTGGGACCGATTCAAACTTGATGAAAAATGCCATAATAGGAGACCTTTAATAAGCAGCCCCTGTGACGCTGAGTGTGTGTGGTTCCAGCAGGTCAGGGATTGACAAAACTGAGTCACTGAGCACATCAAAACTCAGTCATTGGAACACAGTAGACAACAAAATGACTTAACAAATAATAATAAATCAATCATAACAAACACAAACTCTTTTCTGTTTGTTCAGATTAATTGTTGGGTTCATTCTCAATAATCTCCTAAAAACAGAAGAGGGGAGGCCCGTGTATACATGTGCTGTTGCTCTCCCTCTTCCTCTCTCTCTCTAGTAACACACCCACACACAAGGGGGCACAATTATCAACAGTACCATGTATGAGGCCGTTGACTCCAAAAGCTCTGGAACCACTGCTCCAGGACACAAGTGTGTGCACTTTAACCCTTCCGGGCTCTTTAGATTGACTTCCCTCTAAAGTCCCTCGTGGCCGAAAAAAGCCACTTTTTTTGTCGGCTGTAAAATCATATTGGATTAATATTTTTTTCTGATTTTTTTTCACACATCTCTTATTTTACTTCTGCCCTGTTCAAAACTAGCAAATGTTTCATTGAAAACAATTTTTTTAACCCTTTAAGTGCCAATTTAAGACAAAAAGTCACTAATAGGGCAAAAAATTAAAGGAAAATGACCCATTTTTTTTATAAAACATGATCAGAAACTGGTAATCTCTTGCAGGGTATCAGAGTCTTGAATATGTCAGAGATTAGTAATATAATTGACTTAGATGCCTTTTAGGTTTTTCTGTAGCATCAGATTTAATGAAAAACTGCGTTTGGCGCCCCTCAGTGGCCAAAACTACTTTGACTGCTGTAAAATCATATTGGATGAATATTTTTTTTCATACATTTCTTATTTTACTTCTGCCCTGTTCAAAACTAGCAAATGTTTCATTGAAAATAAAAATTTTAACACTTTAAGGGCCAATTTAAGACATAAAGTCACTTAAAAAGCAAAGAAAAATGGAAGGAAAAATTTAAGGAAACTGACCCATTATTTTTATAAAACATGATCAGAAACTGGTAATCTCTTGCAGGGTATTTAAGTCTTGAATATGTCAGAGATTAGTAATATAATTGACTTCAATGCATTTTAAGTTTTTCTTTAGCATCAGATTTAATAAAAAAACTGCCTTTGGCGCCTCCCAGTGGCCAAAACTACTTTGTCTGCTGTAAAATCATATTGGATTAATATTTTTTTCAGATTTTTTTTCATACATTTCTTATTTTACTTCTGCCCTGTTCAAAACTAGCAAATGTTCCATTGAAAATAAAAATTTTAACCCTTTAAGGGCCAATTTAAGACATAAAGTCACTTAAAAAGCAAAAAAAATGGAAGGAAAATGAAGGAAAACGACCCATTTTTTTAATAAAACATGATCAGAAACTGGTAATCTCTAGCAGGGTATCAGAGTCTTGAATATGTCAGAGATTAGTAATATCATTGACTTAGATGCCTTTTAGGTTTTTCTGTAGCATCAGATTTAATGAAAAACTGCGTTTGGCGCCCCTCAGTGGCCAAAACTACTTTTTCTGCTGTAAAATCATATTGGATTAATATTTTTTTCAGATTTTTTTTCATACATTTCTTATTTTACTTCTACCCTGTTCAAAACTAGCAAATGTTTCTTTGAAAAAAAAATTTTCACCCTTTAAGGGCCAATTTAAGACAAAAAGTCTCTTATGAAGCAAAAAAATGGAAGGAAAATGGAAGGAAAATGACCTTATTTGCTTCATAAGAGACTTTTTGTCTTAAATGGGCCCTTAAAGGGTGAAAATTTTTATTTTCAAAGAAACATTTGCTAGTTTTGAACAGGGCAGAAGTAAAATAAGAAATGTATGAAAAAAAATCTGAAAAAAATATTAATCCAATATGATTTTACAGCAGACAAAGTAGTTTTGGCCACTGAGGGGCGCCAAACGCAGTTTTTCATTAAATCTGATGCTACAGAAAAACCTAAAAGGCATCTAAGTCAATTATATTACTAATCTCTGACATATTCAAGACTTAAATACCCTGCAAGAGATTACCAGTTTCTGATTATGTTTTATTAAAAAAATTGGTCATTTTCCTTCATTTTCCTTCCATTTTTTTTGCTTTTTAAGTGACTTTATGACTAAAATTGGCCCTTAAAGGGTTAAAATTTTTATTTTCAATGAAACATTTGCTAGTTTTGAACAGGGCAGAAGTAAAATAAGAAATGTATGAAAAAAATCTGAAAAAAATATTAATCCAATATGATTTTACAGCAGAAAAAGTAGTTTTGGCCACTGGGAGGCGCCAAAGGCAGTTTTTTATAAAATCTGATGCTAAAGAAAAACTTAAAATGCATTGAAGTCAATTATATTACTAATCTTTGACATATTCAAGACTTAAATACCCTGCAAGAGATTACCAGTTTCTGATCATGTTTTATTAAAAAAATTGGTCATTTTCCTTAAATTTTTCCTTCCATGTTTTTTTTGCTTTTTAAGTGACTTTATGTCTTAAATTGGCCCGTAAAGGGTTAAAATTTTATTTTCAATGAAACATTTGCTAGTTTTGAACAGGGCAGAAGTAAAATAAGAGATGTATGAAAAATCAGAAAAAAATATTAATCCAATATGATTTTACAGCAGACAAAGTAGTTTTGGCCACTGGGAGGCGCCAAACGCAGTTTTTCATTAAATCTGATGCTACAGAAAAACTTAAAATGCATCAAAGCCAATGATATTACTAATCTCTGACATATTCATGACTTTGATACCCTGCAAGAGATAACCAGTTTCTGATCATGTTTTATAAAAAAAATGGGTCATTTTCCTTAAATTTTTGCTATATTTGTGACTTTTTGTCTTAAATTGGCACTTAAAGGGTTAAAAAAAAATGTTTTCAATGAAACATTTGCTAGTTTCGAACAGGGCAGAAGTAAAATAAGAGATGTGTGAAAAATCAGAAAAAAATATTAATCCAATATGATTTTACAGCCGACAAAAAAAGTGGCTTTTTTCGGCCACGAGGGACTCTGGAGGGTGAAAATTTGTCCTGGCTTTATTATTGACCTGGTGAAAATGTTGAATTCATGTTTTCAAGTAGAATTTCAAATTAAGCTTAGAAAAAAAAATTCATCACATTTGCTGCAGTAAAAAAAAATATATATCCAAATAAGTCTCTTGTTTTTTCGTCAAATGGCCAAATTCGGCCACAGGGACCCGGAAGGGTTAAACAGCATTTGAAAAAAGCCTCTGCCTGTTTTCTCGTCTTTCTTGCATTAGTCATACATATTCGAGGTTGTCTGTAGGTAACCAAAATGATATCAATGCACTGCTTTTTCTGCTCTCTGTAAAGACTTTTGTGAAACGGTATGTTTAAATGTTGCTGAGCTAGCTGCATACTCACCATCTCAGGAAGTAAGTCCCAGTTGTAGCTGTAAATCTCTGGAGGAAGGTTGTACACACGAAGTATATTGTCTGCACTGTTGGTCAGGATACAGGAACCGTCAGGGGCCCTGGTTGAGGAAAAGGGAGAGGATGAAAAAAGGGTTGTACACAGGTTAAATGGTACAGCGGCAGACTCATGTTCCTCTTTTTATCCATTCTTAAGAAAAAAAAATTCTAATTGTACTCAAATGACATTTTCTGTATTTTTACTGTTAATGCAGTGTCATGAGAAACTCTATCCATGCACTTGTGTTTTGAATCCAACATGGGAAGCACAGAAGAAGTGAGAAATTTTCTTTTTTCTGATCAAGATTTGGATCGAAAGTTTATTTCAGTCCACAACAGCCACGAATGTCAGATATTTCGGCTCCTCACAAAATGTCCACATGTGTAGGTTTATGTAATTCTCACTCGGACTCACAAATGTAACCGTGATCTGAAAGATGTATTTCCAGCACCTCTGACGCTTCCCACTCTTAACCTGCATGATGCCTGGAGTGACATGTTAATTTTAGAAGACATTACCATTTACAGCCTTTCAGGTAATTCTCTGGAACTGTGGAGAACTCAGTCCAGGAACCAGTCAGCAGCTGGGGGTTCTGGGTGAAATCTAGGCCGAGGCTAGAGAAAGATAAGACATAGGATGAGTTAATCTGCGTATGTCATCAGATTAAACAGACAGGTATAAAAGCATCAAACATGGCACAGACTGACAGAATTTCCTAGTATATGCCAGGTGCAAAAATCGAAGGATTACTCTATCTGGATGTGTGACCTCTTATTGTAGAGTACTGACTAAACTTTGCTGCATATAAACCATCACAGACAGGAAAATTGATGCAAATTCAACACGTTTACCAGTCAGGACTGAGCCGCTCCATTCCGAATCATTGTGAGTACAAAGTGTTAATTATAGTACCACCTCTAACCACAGGTTAATTCAATCATTTTTCATCCTGTATCATCTCATCTACTCTGAATTCTACCATTGTGATGATTCATCGTGTTAAATATTTAATCAGATCATTCTGCCATGCCTCTGATGCCCCACTTCAAAGCAAGCACCATTATAAAATGCAAAGCGGAAGCACAATTACATCTAACACTCACCGGCAATTACAAATGTTCAAATGGCTGCAACTCTGCAATTATCATCAATATTATGATTACAACACATTGCTCCCATACTTCCTGGCAATTTCCAGTTTTGCTTTGGCTGAAGAAACTGAAAAAAATACTTTCTTCTGATGATACTTCACAAGATAATTCCTTTTTGGTGTTTATAATGACAATGTTTTTGGTAAGAGGGTTAACATGCAGCTTTATCTTTAACAAAATCCACTGTACTCTGTTCATTTTAATAGCAATTTATGGGGATATTCCGGTGTAACATTAATTTAGGGTCAAACACACACTGTAACACTGAGCTAGACACCCCCTCGAAGGATGAATGTTGTAGACCGCTTGCTACTCTAGTTATACCAACTTGAGAAGTGACCGCAGGATAGCAATACACAGCAGTCTCAGGAGCCACACACAAACCTCAAGCACCTAACTTCATCAACATTACATATAGGGCCCTAGACATTGCACTAGCCACCAAACATCTTTTTAGCTCTGCCTGGTTTCTTTAGCAAAGAGACTAAACACAGCTCACCTACTCTCTTCTAGCAGCCACTTGTTTGTAGCGAGACCTTGACCAGTCCATCATTGACTGAGGCGGGATGACGCAGCTCAAGGAAGAACATTTATGATCATTTCTTTATCATTTCCTTGTAGTAATAATCAACATATTAATCATTTTGCACTCTCTTAGTGTCTCGGTCTGCTTGCATTTCCATGAGGAAATGATCATAAATGTTCTTCCTTGAGCTGCTGGGAAGAGAGTAGGTGAGTTGTTAGTTGCTATGGCTAGGACCCTATATGTACTGTTGATGAAGTTAGGTGCTGCTCTGAGCATTATTTGTGGCAAGAGTGACATTTTGGTTGAGCGTGGTTGTCACTAAAGTTGGTATAACTAGAGAAGCAAGCGGTCATCAATATTCATCTCTTGAGGGGGTGTCTAACTCTGTGTTACAGTGTGTTTGACCATAACTTATTTACGCCGGAATATCCGTTCAGGGTAAAGAGGAAGTTCAGGTCTATTTGACTGCCACAAGAATATAGAGGATAGGATAGGTTATTGAGATGCATGGAGAGCCTCTATCATCCAGAGCTACAGTCATGCAAAGCAGGGCTTTGTGTTGTGGAAGAACCTCTCACTAGATTTGATTTGATTAAGGGTCTTTGTTCCACAGTTTGTTTTGATATCAGGTGGATTCAGTATTGATTGATATGCTACTAGATGACAGAAATGACCAGATCATTCATCACGAAACCTTCTGATAATCATGAAATAAGGTACTCATAATTAGCATAGTTTGAGAATAACTGACTCCAAATGGAATTTTACTGTCAGTGCTCCAGTTGTGCCATCTGAACACAACCCCGGAAAGCAGTCCATAGAAAACAGCAGCATCTGAATGTGGTCAGGCAGGTTTGCCAACAAAAGCTGTATGCAAAAACTTATCTGGTGTATAAAGAATGTGGGGAAATATAGATGAACTTTCACTTATGTCATAGAGAGACAGTGAAAAAGGTGTCTTTCATACTGTCTCATTCGTGGTTAGCTGGAGCGTAATGTGCGCAAGTAAATCAGTTGTTGGTGAACAGAGCATCTATCAACAATACAGTATCCAGCAAACAATCAAGCAGAAGTTTACAGAAAATTTACACTTCACTGAGTGACAGCAAGGACAGGACGACTCTAAAGATGGCTGGAATTCTTATTGTTCTAAAATTACTAAAAGTAGTGTTCTTCAGTTTGTGAGTCGTGCTAAATCAAGAGAAGGGAGGTTTGATTAAACCAAGCTGGGACATCCCTGATTAGTTGCACCCCTATTCCAAATATAAGGTACACAACACTATGATCTGGATATGACAAAGAGAATTATTTCACTCTCTTGCCCCTTTGTATGGCCACACTTTGTCTAACCATCCTGTTCAAAGACAGGATCATATTAAAGCCAGCTGTAGCAACCTCCCCAGCTCTATCCCTGTTTAATAAAGAAAGAAGTAACAAGTTTTTTTTTTTTTTTTCTGACTGTCTCCACTTACTGTTGTCCTTCAGTGGGACTGTCCGCTGGAGTATCACTGTTTTGCTCCTCCTCCCCTTGTTTCTCTCCTTCATCCAAGTGGGCGTCGTGGCCCCCTTCTCCATTCTGATGACACTTCACTTCCTCACTCCTGCTGATAATGACCACTTGATCTTTATCTGGCCATTGTGGTTCTTCAGTTCCTAGAATCAAAGATTAAACTAGGTCATAATATCCTATTTATCTCAGTGCCAAACCCACATCAAAACCGCCAACTTGAATAAAACTTGATGAAACAGTTTTCACTGTCACTTAAATTTTCATTGAAAGGATGAAGCTTGGATACTTTACTTTGTGCTGGTTGAGCTGGTGGACCAGCTTGTGCTGGTGTATTACCGTCCATCCTTGAGGGCTGTGCAGTCTGCTCCAATCCTTGTTCTTCCTCGTTCATTCTGGACCGCTTGGCAGACGGTTCTCCCCTATCTGCTGATGTCCCTCCCACTTCTAGGTTGTCATCTTCAGTTAAAGGCACCTGTTGAGGGGGCTCAGTGTCTGCTTCTGCTTCCTGCCCCACACCTGTAACACCTCCACCCTCGCCACCTCCAGCTGAGTCTGACATACCTTTGTTGATCAATCCTCTAGGTAAAGTCCTGTACTTGGCCTTCAAATGTGTTTGTTCTTATGGTTTGCTGTCAGACGTGGGTAAGGTAAGTGCTACTGGGGTAGTGCTTCCTCCTGCAGTGTGGGTGTTTGAGTCTGCTGGGGGTCGAGGACATCACAGCGCTTACTAGCCTAAAAATTCACGGATAAAGAAAATACAGGGAACAAGGCAGGTAAGACCAACAAAGAAAGGATACAGTTCAGATGTATAAAATATAACAAATGCGTGCACACTTGCAACAACAAAAAAAAAAACACCCAAAGATTGAAAGAGGAAACCATTTGGTTAATTCTTTAAAGATTTCAAATGCAACCATTCAGACACCTGTGGCGAGTAGGGGGACGGGCCAACAGTCTCCACCAGCATCTCACAGTGTGTCGATTTCACCAAGATTAAGCTCACAAAAACACTTGAGAGGCTTTCGGGTTTTACTCTAATCTCCGCAGTCATTACAGTGTGGAATATGTTGGTTACACAAGGTAACGTGCTTTATTTTCTTACATTGCCAGTCCACAGCAAAAGCTGCGACCACCTCGCGTTAGCTCATGTTAGCATTAGCTCTTGCTAACAGTCTGTTGCCACCTACCTGTGTTCTGGCTTGTCTGGCCTTTGGTTCTGCTCGTAGTTTGGCAGAAAGCACCTCTTCTTCTCAATGGTGTTGATTTTCCACTTTTAGTAGGGAAGCGTGTCAAGCATCTAAGTGCTCAACGTCAACGTTTGTACCTCTATAACTCTTCACTTCATTTCGAGAAGTTGTAAACACTGTGGGCGGCCATGTGTTTCCAACTATCGCGAGAACTCGGCTAATGACGACTACACCTCTACGCAGCAGTGTTGTCGTCATCAGTGGTGTTATCACTCTGTAGCTCATACAAATACTCATTTGGGTCAGGTATACAGGGAAAAAAATCGGACTCAGTCAAGATTAAATGCTGTTTATTAATATTTATTTTGTTCTTCAAACAAACAAAAGCTAAACTATTTACACATCATTTAGTTGTTCTTGTTCAAAACAGTTTCATGTATGCTGTGTTTTTAACAACATTCATTCTTCTTGAGCTATGGAGCTGAGCTGACAGGGACATGACTTTTATTTCTCTTTGGCAGCATTTTTGGATATACAGCTAGTGGCTAAACTAACCCAGATCATAAATTGTATATCATCAAGAAACAGACTGTTACAGGATCACTTTATAGCCTGCAACCTCACATCTGAGAATTTTTTTCCCCCAACAACATTGCAGTCTATGTAATCATAAAAGCATGCGTAGTGCAGTTAAATCTGCAAAAACTTCAATTTACTTTTTACAGACAGAATGAATTACCAAAAAGCAACATCACAAAATATAAGGTTTTAAAATGCCAACATAAGTATTTTAAAGTCATTTATAAACAAGAGATTTGATAGTATAAGATTAAAGTCGATTTCTTTGTTTTGGCAACTGATTACAACAGTACTAACACTGAAGTGTTTAACCATTTAATATTCAATCAGTATCAATTTAACACATACAGTACTGTGGCTACTTTAAAAAGTAGCAATTGCATGTAACTATCCCCCAAATCACAGCATCGTGAAGCATACATATATGGAGAGCCTTAACACATGATTTTTCAAGAAAATCAGTTGCCACTGGATTAAAAACTGCAAACTGTTCTTGAGTTAACAAAAAAAACCTAGTTGACTAAAAGCAGTAATCTCTCAAATTCAATGAAATGTGTATGTGGAACAAGACACTATCAAAATTTTGGTGAATGGAATATCCTTTTGGACAGTTAACAAACAGGAAGATTTCTTGACTATTCAGTGCCAAAGATGATCAGCAGCACTACCAGCTGCGCAAAGCAGAGGCAAACAAGGACACACTGGGGCCCACCTCCAGGTTTAGTGTCAAAATCCACAAATTTATCAATTCATGCATGCTCTTTCTTCTAATCATTCTGATTTGACATCCTAAAACAGTAAAAAGCATTTAGTAGCTTCCAAACTGCTAAATACACAGGGAGTGTTAGAAGTGAACCTAAAGCCCGCCATGTTAAGGTGGACCTGTTGCTCTGGTTCAGTTTCACCAATTGCAGTACATCCAACAACAGTTGTCACACAGTAAGAATCTGTGCTTTGAGCCAATTTTGTCCATTCATTCTGGTCAGCTCAGCTCCTGACAGTACAGACTCAGCCCTTTATCAAGCCTGGACCTTTAGCAAAAAAAAAAAAATCTGACAGGAAATCGAGACAAATCCACTCCTTATTTAAAGGAAACCAAAAGGGCAACAAAAGCCAACCACCAAAAAATTGATAAACCAAAGATCACTTTATGCTCTATTTTGTAGCCAACTAGTAACTCTCAAGGTGGTTTGTAATAAAGCAGGTTAACAGAAAACTCTTTAGAAAACTTTTTTCTTTCATTGGCTTTACAGGACAGTCAAGGTGATTTCCAACTTCAACTCATCATTCAGAGAACATTTTCAGTTAGCCATTAGGTCTGAACTATACAATTTAAGGCATGTTAGAGAAATAAAGCAAAACCCACTATGAGGAAAATCAAAACACAAACTTTTACATTATTTACACAGCTCAGTGTTTATACTACTGAGCCTTGATGCTTGTGTGTGAATCTATGATCTGATATTGATGTAGCCCTGTTAGGTGTGCAGACGTGGTTCTTGAGAAGAGCCAATGTAACTTGAAATAATGTTGCTTGCTGTTGGTGTGCGTGTAGTGTGTCTGCCACTTCTTCAAACACTAGAATCTGACATGTAGCTATGTATTTGTGTTTTGTTGTGTTTCAAAGTCTTTTTTGTACAATGGTTTCAGTTCATCCATCCCCATTGCTGCAATCCAGCCCAGCACTCAGCCTCTGCCATCTGGTCAGGGGGGCAAATCTTCTGTCCTGCTGGTTAGAAGAATTCCACACAACCAACTGATGGTTTCAGGCAAAGTTGCTGATGACATCTGAGCAATTAATGCCTCTTTATCCTCTTCCTTGCCAGACAGCACCCAATCAAATCCCAAACACGAACACTTCCAACACAGATGGGATCGATAAAGCTGCAACTTTATCTGGAAACTATCCGACTGATAATGCCACTGGCTTGCCTAGTCCAACAGGAGACAAGAAAGTTTCTTAGGGTTCAGTTCAAAGGGCAGGGTAAGGGTTTAACTGGTTCATTGGTTGGCTGTAGATAAGATCCTCCTTGCAGAGGGCAGCAAATAAAGTACAGCCAGAATCCTGTATCGACAAAGACAAAGAGCAAGAGCAAGAGATCATCACTCAATCATCCAAACGGTGCTGTTATAAAAAGTTCCACAAGACCAGCCAGGAGAAAATGTATCCAGTTAAGTTAGAAAAAAACTTACCAATGCCAAGGATTGTTCCTTCTGCAGTCACATCACACAAGACAGTCATCAGGTTGGTCGACCAAGTGGAAGCATCCTTGCCAACAGCTCTCCAAACCCATGTCTGTTTACTGTGCATGTTGATCAAACACTCTTGGTGAGGCTCTTTGTTAGCAACTGCAAAAACATCCGTTTTGATAAGTAGCTATCAGTCTCTGAGCCAACACCTCAGTCCATGTCCATGTGGTTTTCCCATCCATCCCTGATTATTACAGGGTTACTGGCAAACTAAGGGAAACTCACAGCAAGTCTATCTCAAACTATATTCAAAAAAGATTGGTATTCTCGAAGAACATTCACTCCATTTAAGCAATGTCTCATGAATTTTTCCTTCATCCATTTTCAAATTTCTCTCTATTCTTAATACAAAAATATGGTTATATACAGGAGATGGAAGAAGACAATGCTTCTGAAGTCTCTTATTTCAGTTTAGGAATATTTTTTCAGTGACTTTGTCAAAGTCGTAGCGATCCTCCTGTTGTAATTGTGCTCCCATCCCCAAAAAGGTACCTCACAGCTTGAATGAACAAAAGTGCATAGGTGAGTTGGTGAGGGCAGGGTGTGAGTGCTCATGAGGGTTGAGGTGAAGACGAGTGCACTAACCAGGTGTACTCGTACCGCCCTCAAAGTTCCCTCCAGGGTTTTGCAGCCCTGCATGCCGTTCTCCACAAAACAGCCCGTCCTTGATTTTCACACCACTGCTCCATGTTTGATCGTCGCGTTTCAGGCTCCAATTCCAAACATATGAAGTCAAAGGATCTTGTCCATGTTTGCGCCGCCTGAAGCTCTTCCTCAAACCAACACCACTCAATGTCCAAATGGCAGAAGCGCACTTGCAAACCCCACCCATTGTTTATATGGGAACAAACAAAAACAAAAAATGAACAAAAAACAAACAAAAAACTGCACCCACAGATATCCATGTGGTTTGTAAACAACCAAAGCTCCAGTATGGAATAGAAAGAGTCCTTTCTTTTAAATTCTCAGTCATTATTTGTACGACCAGGATTGTAGAGGCAGTGTGTTCAACTGTATCCATCCCAAGTTTTTTTTTTTTTTCTCCACTGTGTAAAAAAAAAAAAAGTCTTCCATAAACTCTTTGAAGCTTTTTTTTGTATTTTGAAATCTTCTGAGGAAAAAAATAATATCTGGTATCAGCACGGGTTTCTTGTCATTTTTTTGGAATACATTCAATATTTTCTTAAGAAAAGAAAAAATACACACTTCACATGGCAATAGTGAAAACAAAAATGAAAAACAAATTAAGGAAAAAAAAAAATCAAAACACACAACAAAAATAGCAGCCCCAAGTGCTCGTTATCTTAGTCCAAATACTTTTAAACTTTGTATATAATGTATATATTCATATATATTTTTCATTAAAAAAGAAAAACAAAACTCGTCATCAAATTGCAACAACGAAGAAGTAACACAATATGCTAACATTTCATGCACCATTCTGTGCACTTGCACAATAAGATGCTGTATTTTTTTTTTTTCAGAGTCAGAAACTCGACACCTTTCATTCACAAGTTCGAGAGCTGACAAAAGGCAATGTGATCACACCCCAGGAAAACAGACTGGACTAACCTTCTGATGGATCACCCTTAGACTGAACAAGAAATATTTACGATATAAACTTACATACACTGTGCTGAGCACTGACACACGTCACACTCGCTCTCAAAAAAGAGTTAATGTCTCAATGGCCACGCACCCTATCAGAGTTCTTAGGCACAAATGTGCATTCATACACATACTGAAAGAGCACATGTATTCAAAATGAGTACCTGTAGTCTTAACTCATTTCTATGAACAGTTAATGAGCATGCTCACTGAAAACACTTGCACACAAACACACATTCTCACACAAAGTCTCACTCTGATGCACACACAGTAATGTCCCTCATGATTTGCTCCGTCTGCTAGGCCTCACAGGTTAGCAGACAGATCTCCATGTGGAGAAGCTAAGGGAAATAAACTAGTGGTGGTCATCACAGGATGAGTACAAAGCTAACATTTACAAATGTATGCATTTCTACTTTGCCTATCTGGTGATGAAGAGCTGGTGAGAGAAAGGATGTGTTGTGCAATTGGCCTCTCTCTCTCTCTCTCTCTCTCAACCATTCACTCTCTCAAAACATACAAAGTCCCTGTTTGGAGAAGGGAAACACACACTCTTAACATGAGAATACAAAATTACCATTTGAACAAAAAAAGACAAAAAAATGGCCTCTTATGTTTCATACATCTTGGTAAGCAACAAAAAAAGAAGAAAAAAAAACATTGTGCAGACTGGTACATTACTGACACAAACCAACCATCACACATCAGTTACTCTCTCAGTCATTCATACACATTCAAAAAAATAATCACTTCTAGAACTAACCCCATTTGTTTGATTTTTTTTGTTGTTTTTGTTATTTCTTTTTTAGGCAAGTGCAAATCTTCAAGTTTTTTATAATCCATTTTTCAATAGCTTTACTTTTTATATAAACGTAAAAAATGCTAAACAAGAGAAATATCAACAGTGTTTGTCTTTTGAGAAAGGATTTGCTCTCTGATAAGGTTTCAACTAAAGGTCCCCCTGACTTTGAAAACCTAACATCCAGACCATTCACCCCATCGACTATTTCTCTGCCCCCTTCCAGTTTCACTGCACATGCACACAGATAATGTGTATGTGCACTCATTCTCAACATACACACACACACACACACACAAGAAAAAAAAACTATTCAAATCCCATCTCAATAAAGTGCATTAGTTCAGTATAAGGTGCTAATCTTTTGAGTGCCAGAGGATACCCATCTTCCTTTTAACCTCACCCTACTCACACCCCTCTCCCAGGCTCAAGTGATCAACTGGTACAGCAGGGAGCCCTTTTATCCTTCCCAGAAGGAAGGAAAGAGTGGGAGGCACACTTCCAGGCGCCTTCCCTCTACACCTCCCCTTACACTAGCTCCCTTCCTACCCTCACCCCCCGGTTCCCCCAGCAGTGCACATTCGTCATCAGGTTTGTCTGATTAAAAGACAGAAGGCCTCAGGTAGCTATTGCTGCTGCGCTGCGTCACATCAGTAATCCTCCACCATCTCCATCTCATTCAGACTCAGACAGTCGCCCGCATTGTGGAATGAGTACCCTGGAGGGAGGACAAGGGATGGGCAAGGAGAGAGGAGACAGAGAGAGCAGAGTAGAGTTCAGAGGAGGATGAGACATGAGGGAGTTAGAAGGGCTGGCTTAGACTGTAGGCAAAGGGACAAAGATGCAGTCCAGGAGTTAATCTTAAGAGCATGAGGGCCCCTTTCATTTCGGGCTTATGTACTGTGTCATATTGATCGAATATGCAAGTATACAGTGATTCCATCTAAACCAAGACACACAGACATATTGTCAAGATGCATGGCCCATTTTGATAGATTAATTTCACTCTGAGTAGCATGCACACAGAGAGAGACTTTTATTTCGTAGTTAACCAGCACAGCTTCTCTGAATGATGTCACAGATTTCTGGACAACAAATCTGGTCAAACATTACAGAGGCATGCAGAAACAAAGCCCTCTTCAAAACTGAACTACAGTTTATTGGCACTGCATCATTTACTGTGCCATTAGCTAAAGGCAAAGGTTGTATCGGACTCTAAAGATAAAACACAGGATCAGCTAGAATGGATGCCTTTTACCCCCCTCTTTCATTTATTTGTATAATTTGTGTACAGTTATGGTTCATGCGGGCCATCTCTTAAGGTTAACAATCATAGAATCATAGAAGAAGTCCAAAAATCGAGAAGAATCACATCCCTCTTTAAACAGTTCAGACCATGTAGAGAATTGTATTCAAAAGAAAGGGAACATTACTAGCTTGTTAGGTCACATACCTAAGATGCTGGGGTCAGAGTGCAGCATCATGGGCTGTTTTTTCTTCATCTTTCCCCCCTGGTTGTCATAGAGACCAGCCTTGCTCATGTGATTGGCTTGAAACATGGACTGCAGGGTGCTTGGATTCATACCTCGCATTGAGTCCTGGCAAAAAATAAAAGAAGAAAATTAACATTGTGGCAGATACTTGCAAGCCATGAATAATGAAGAAATGGAGAGCTGTTGTGGTTGCAAAAAAAGACACAACCACAATTAACAATGCTAGTTTGCACTAACAATCCCATGTTATTCTTTTTTTTTTTCTCAGTATAGTTGTTGATCTGTATTTACCTGCAGAGGGAAGTTCATGTTCATTCCAGCCACTTCCTTTGATAACTGGGATACATGGAAAGAAATGAAGACATAATTATTAGGAAAAACAGACTCCAAACTTTTCCTCTGCCTTATCTGCAGTCTGTCGGTGTCATTTGTGAAAGTATGGGTCAAAGCCTGAACTTTAGTGTTAGCAACTTTTCTGATTAAGCAGATATGTATCAAGAATGTGTTGATCCCAATCTCAGCTATCAGGTTATGAGTAAATCTGGGCAATTTTTTCATATTTATTTGGGATCTGCAATTTGAGACATTCATTTTACCCTTGCCATTTATATTGGCTGATGTAAATAGAGCACAATTTGCTATATAATGCAAATGAGGGTGTAAATATCTGCGTATCAGCTACTGGCATATGTGTAACATGAATGTTTCTCAGTAGCAGTGGAGCCACTTCAATACTACTGCAACAGACTATCCTGTGTTTGATATATCTTCCTGCTTTTTGAACCATGAGTCTCTAAAGAGCGACCATAGACTGCCATATGTGGCCGTTATTGCTGTAATCCAGTTAGCTGTTCTCATGTGTGTTCATGCAATACGATTCAAGCTGTAAGTGCAGTTTCACATCAATGTACTGTTACTTTTCTTACGAAGTGCATACAGTTACTGTACATTACACCCTGGATGCTTGGCTCAACTACATGCCTTGACATTATAACTGGCCAACTGGTCCTGATGCCCTAAAGATGATTTATTAAGAAGAGCTTCACAGTTGTCACTCCTGCGAGCACTCAAGGTAAATTTTCGCATATTGACCTAAGCACGGTTTTTCGCTCAAGCTAGTACAATTTTAAATTCATTGGCTCCTGGTCAAAAGCCCGGCAAAAGTAAACACCCAAAGGAAAAAGAATCATCAGAACAGTCAAGGAAAAGTTAAAAGGTAATAAGAGAGCAGAAGGGAGAGAAGGGCACAGGCACACTGCCCGAGATGGCTGAAAAGGACACGAGTAAAATTTTTTTTTTTTTTGCATCAGATCAGATCGTTTCTTCTATCTGCTGAGTAGACTATTGACTGTTACTGCCAAAACAAAAGTAATGTTCCTGGAACAGTGGTCAAAGTAGTGATCTTCAATTTAGTCTAATGTCTATCTCTGCACTTACAATGTAATATGACTCCTAAAAACTAAACATGCATTCATTAAACCAACAGAAGAAAAGGCTGCTGTGCCAAAGCAACACACTTAAAAAGTACAAAGGAAGAGTGAAAAGATAAAAAGATTACAGAGAAGGTGGCTGAATCCATCACTTTGGACAACCAGTCCACCTCTGTGGTAGAGCATGCAGTTTTTGCCATCTTTTGGGACTTCCAGAGTCATGGTATGTCCTACTGTTATAAACCTATGTTTCAGACCTGCCCTTACTGAGGCTGTACAGTGTGACACATACAAGGTGATTTCAAGCGTGTTGTGACTGCTGTCAGTTTATCAAAAGACATTTAGAGCTCTTTTGTTAGTTCAGTGTCATCGTCGAGCATCTCTGCTCAATGACTCCCCATTGATCAATCTTGAAACAAAACAGCTTCTGCCATTTCTATGTTGTGAAGTCCCCTTTTTCTGTGTTCTTGAAGCAGCCACAGGAGGATATGGCAGACATTCACTTTCGAATACAGAGGAAAGCAAGTGTAAATCAGAGTTTCCACCTCTTCATGCTCATTTTATTGAGGATAATGTACTCAACTGGGGTTTGTTTTTAAAATGTGGTATTCTCACAATCCAAACACCTATGGGCTCCAGCATACCTGCTGCTGCTGTCTCTGTTGGTTGGCTTTCTGTTTGGCACGTCGCTCCAGAAACTGTTTGGCGAACTCTTTGGCTTCCACTGTGTCCCCCAGGTAGGACCGGATAAAGTCCAGCACTGCATAGGGAGACTCCACCTCCTTCAAGTATGCCACAATAGTGGCAACTTAGCAAAAAAATAATAATAATAATCAAAACAGAGCTGAACATGTGAAAGTTGTTGAGATGATTTCATTGATAGTGAAAAGGTTTGGAAATAAACTGTTATCAAAAAGAGTCAACTGTCTTCACTGAGAGTGAATTCTCCTGGTGTTCGAAATGGCTAAAAACATAAAAGCAGCACAAATTACCATCCACAGAGGAGGAGGAGTTGTTGGCAGAGGTGTTGAGAGCATGCAGCATCTGTTCACACCAGGTGGTGAAGCCGTCCTGAGGCTTCATGCCCTGCAGCAGCTTCAACAGCTTCTCCTCATCCTCAGTACGCTTGCGGCGCATCATGTACTGCTCACTGTGAGAATGTATAGGGTTCAATTTATATTATCTTTGCCCATTAGCTTAGACACATAAAAATAAAAACACTAATATCATCAAAACCACAGTGGTATCTGCCACAGTGACAGTACGGACATTAGCAAAAGAGAAAATCAAACATCTCTTTGTATTTCATCATGTACCTGAGTGAAGGGCTGCTGCGGCTGTTCTTTAAGCCCATGTTATTGTTGCTGTTGCCGCGCAGGCCAGACTGATTCTTCACAGCCTCGTCCCACATGCCCATGCTCCCTGAAGAGCCTCCACTGCCACCCTTACTCTCCATACCTCCAGGCCCCCCCCACATACCGACACCATCCACCCACTGCCCTCCCATGGAGGAGCCCCCCATGGACATGCCACAGTGCTGGAGACAAAAAGAAAAAGCATCATGACAAACGTGCAGTTTTAGTCTTGCTCTAAGTGATTTCCGTATGAAATCTAAGAAATAGGTTATTTAAGCTTGTACACTCACGCGTTCTCTCTGCTGCTGCTGGGCTCGCTGTTGCTGCTGCTTGAGGAGCCTTTCTGTCTCCTGCTGCATTTCCAGCAGAGCCAGAGCCTGAGGCTTCCCTACCTTGCCAAGCCCAGAGGAGGAAGCCCCACTCCAGCCTGAGCCACCTGCCCCAGGACCCTGCTGCTGGGGGGCCTGCAGCAACTTCATGATCAGGTCCTGCTGCTGTCGACACTGTGGGACAACAAAGACAAAGATAATCTGTGTTATAATGGTGTAAAGCCAAATCTTTAAGCTGGAACACATGATTATCAATATCACTTTCAATATGATGATGACCACTGATGATTCCTGTCTTAAAGACAATCGTGACCTTAAATCCTCAAAGGTAGGGACCAAACAATCAACTTATAAAACATCTCAATCTTGGATGTACTCAATCTGAGATCATTTTTGGGCCCTTAACAGAAGGGCTGAAATGAAAATTATAAGGACGACCACTTATGTTATTTTACAGGCTGACATCATGCAAAACTCTGCAGGTAAGGGTTGTTTGCATAATGTTCTGAAATGACAAATTGGTTGGCATCCACAAATTTCTTCAACATTCATCTCACCTGCTTGCGTCTGAAGAGCTCATCCTCCTCCCTTCTCTTCTGCTCCTCCTGTTGCCTCCTCTTCTCCTCCCTTCTCTTACGCTGCTCTTCCTCCTCACGCTTTGCCCTGAGTTCAGCGTCTCGTCTCTCCTGCTGGAGCTGAATCAGAAGCAACAAAAACCATACTTTATACTGTTTATTAGAAAACCTCAAGTTATAATGACCTTAGAAATGTCAAATTCACCTAAACCCACCTTTTGAAGCTGTTCGAGTGTTGGACCCTGAGTAGAAGGATTCATTGTTATGTCCCAAAGACTGGCTTCACCGCCTATTTAAAAATGACATATGTAATCATTTATTTTATTTGTTGGGTACAGTATTTCTGAGTAGTCACAGCATGTACTTGAACAGTAAGTTGCTTTTTTATAAGCACCTGGCGGCTGTGAAGCTGAGGTATGCATGTCCCACATGGACCCTGTATCTGGCACTGACATCGATCTGTTCATAGAAGGCATCATACCCGGCTCACTGCACCTAAAGCACACCAAGTAGGCCCAAAATGGGAATTACAAATGTCAAAATCTGGTCTCATAAATGAATTCAAAGAGAAAAAATAAGAAATTTTCATGTAACAGGTGAAACCTGCACTCTCCATAGACTGACCTGTTAATGAGCTGGAATAGCTGCTGCTGTTGGAGCTGCTGATACAGAGCTGCAAGCTCCTGCTGCTTCTTCAGGCGCTCCTGATCTAGGTTCCCCTGAAAAGATGAGAGCAGTAAACACTTAGTTAAACGCATCTATAAGTTCTGGTTGCTAAAACAGCTGATAAATAGTGATCTCAGCCTGAGAACCACTTGTGCTGTTATCCCTCTTTTTGCAGCCATATTAGAGGGTTATTGTAAATACTGACTGCAGCACATCAGCCTGTCTGCAGTCTTCAGTATGCCACAAAGATACACAACTTGCATGCATTTTCCTTGTAATGTATAAAGTTACATGCTGTAATAGATGCACAGTTATCTGGTTGGCTATGCCACATTTGTAGGTGATGGAAACTGTTCTGCTCCATTTTTATGAAGCTCAGATGCAATCAGTGAATTTTACATTTCTAGGAGCATTTCATGTTTCTTGAAAACTTGGATCTAAATATATCCTTAAAGTCCCACTCCGATCGATTTTCTTTTTTTTTTTTTTAAGTGTTGTCAGTGGTCTTTAAGCTGTGCTGAGCTCCAGTAGCTCATTACCAATTCACCTCTGAGTCATGGGCGGTGCAGCTCTGCACTCTCCTCTTCATGCTAGCTTGTAGCCTAACACTGCTGGTGCAGCAGAAGGGGCAGGAAGCTATTCAGCTCTCAAACACTGTTGTCTTTGGGGACATGACGAAAGTTAATATCAAAATTAGCTTTCTTACGAGCATTGCAATCCGCTATTGCGCAGATTTGCTCCACCATCATCCTCTATACCGAGTATGACATAGAAAATCCCACTGAATCTGAACCTGCTGTTTGGGTCTGCCACAGGTTCACAGTGATTTGAATGCAGACATAATCAGAAAAGCAATTTTACACTTAGTTTTCTCATGACATGTCCTCTAGCATCAGAAAAATGCAACATGAACATGATTTTCATCGGAGTGGGTCTTTAGAAAATAAAAATAAAAACATAGTGTGGTGCTTTCTCAATGAGGTTGGGGTCATTTCAGAAACAAATTGAGTGCCTGTTGTTACACTGAATTGGAATTAATCATTGGTCGTTTTTACCGTAACCTGTCTATCAATCTTTCCTCTCCTCTGCATCCTCCCTTCCCCATCCTCTACGTTGGCTGAGCTCTGACTCACAGTCCCGGCGGGCCCTCGGGTGGGCTGCGGGCGCTGCGTTGGTGGTGGCTGTCTCACCAGCAGGGGCGGAGGGGAGGGCCCTGGGGCAAAGGGCACACGGCCCCACATCTTGATGACGTCCCCCAGGGGTTGGAAGCCCTCATCGCAACCCCGCTTAACCAGCAGGGTCATGGTAAAGTAGCCTGCCTGGAACCACTCACACATTTCCACTGTGGTGAAGGGACCTGGTTGAGGGTAGAATGAAAAGGCAGATAAATTGAATTAATCCAGAGTGCTCATAAATTGATATGCCAGGCTTTAATACTGAAGTGTCTAAGTTTACCCTGGATCTCTCCCTGTGGGTCCTTGTAGAACCACTTCATGGCAGCCTCATGTGACAGTGGTAGAGCAGCTGCTGTATTCCTGCTCTCTTGCTGCTGCTGCAGAGCCTGGGTGAAGCATTCCTCCTCCAATGAAGTGTCCTGCAGTGAAGCCACCATCTTCTCTGCCTCCTGCACATAACCATACATACACATGCAGGTTGTCTTAGGACACCAAATCAAATGACACTGCAGGAAACGTTTAAAAACACAAGACACTGAGATCGCGATTTTTAGCCAGACATTCTGTCTTTCCATGTTGTGGATTAACTTTATTGCCTGAAAAGCGAAACCTGACACTTTTACTTGCCTTGAACCAAAAATCTCTTTATCAACTCCAATCTTTATCAACTACTTCAATGCTGTAACAATCTCAGATCTGACTGATTACTTAAAAGGTTACATGGCCTATCTCCCTGCTACATTTCTGTCATCTAAGTATCATACACTTTGGTACAAACTTGCAATCATCTGACAGAGGTCTTCTGTCAGTTCTAAAGGGCTGGCAACAAACAAGAAGGTGTTTGCTATCAGAGCCCACAGGCTTTGAGAGTGTTGATTCTTTGCCTTAGGAAATCATGTTGGCCAAGTCAGAGTGCCAAGACATTTTCTGAAATCCACTTTGATCATGTCCTTCTTGAACTTGCTAGAGTTTGAATGTTCTTGACCTTCCTTACATTTTGTTTTGAACTTTTTCCTCCTCTTTTTTATTTATCCAAACATAACTATCAGTTATCCCCCTTATCATCTGAGAACTTGTTAGTTTTATTTTACTGCCTTACGTGAGCGTCCAGCTACAACTACATCATCTTTCTGATACAGCTCCTGGAAACATGCCACCTTTTGTTCCTACCTGCTGCAGGTGCTTCATGCCCTCATCGTCTTCTGTGTCTCCTCCTGAAGGAGGGAGGAGAGGAGCGGCAGATGAAGGGGGTGGAGGAGGCAGACTGGAGGAGGTGGCAACGCTTGGACTCAGCTGCAGCTTGGAGCCCCCTACTGGAGTCACATCTGAAAGAATAACAAGACAATCAAACATTTGTTAAACAATGGGCTCTATTCTTAGCGCCTCTATTTATGGGTCTGTGATGTCAGATGTGTGAAGGAAAAGCAATCTACAAGCACCATGTCAGGTACAGAAAGCACAGCAGGTTCAGTAAACAAGATATTAAATGACTTGCTCTAAACAGATTGTGTATCAAACCAAAATATCAACGTGGCTAAATATCGTCCCACTTCCCATTCACTGTGCAGACACTTCGGGAGCCTGGCTGAATGTAAGAAACAAAAAGCTTTGAAGATCCAGAGCCAGGGGAAAAGACTATCAAGGCTTTGAATCTGCATTTTGTAATTTACAACAAAAGCATTAGCCCAATGTTGGATAGGGAGAACATCTAGACACTGGTTCCTGCTCATATCTTTATTGAAAACATTTCCCTTTTTCCTTTTCCAAACTGATTTATGAAGTATTCCCTTGAGAGGAGAATTGAGCATTTTTCACTGTGCCTTTTTCACACTGAAACCTTTCATGATGTAGATAATCTGATTTGAGAGGGCATTCCTGTGAGGCTTTTACTGTAAAGCAAATAAAGGCATGTGACAAAAAAGCATACCTCTGTCAGCTGCTGAATTCAGGCTTGTGTAAAAGCTTGTGTAAAGCTGGCTATAGTTCAGAACATGGCATTATTAATTCAAACTGAGTTTAACACTAAGAAGCAATGTATTAAGTTTGACGTAGTTTAAAAAGTCATTTTTCAGCTTACAAGTCACCTTCAGACTTAATACCTCAGAATATACTGCAGGGGGCTGAAAAACCCCTGACAAATCTCTAACACATTTTGTTACATATTCTCAAACTTGTCTTTAACTCTTTTTGTAACCCAACTCATCATAAAGTTCTGTTTAATTCATGGCTTCACTTCCTTACAATATGATGTGCTTGGAAACCACAGAATTCACCTAAATAAATAAACAGATGCCTAATACTGCTCCTGAGTGAATCTATTTTGGTGTTGGTAGCAACAATAAGTACACTCGCACACCAACATCGCATTAGGAACAAGAACACAGACAAACCTTCACTGGGTGTGCTGCTGGTTTTGACAGCATGGATGTTATTCAGCAGAAGGTTGTCTACTGCTGGGCCAGCATTGCTGGGCCGAGGCTCCAGGAACGGAGGGGCACAGTGGACTGGAGGAGAGGAAGAGGGAGATGTTGGCTTGGTCTCAGCATCCACTACAGCAGAGCCACCATCTTTACTCTCTGGAAGGTAAAAGCGAAGGAACACGCTTAGTTGGATGACAATTTTTTTATTAATTCCTTGGACTGCAATAAGCTAAATGGACCAAAGCACATAAGCAAGCTATCGAGCAGCTAATGTAGTCCATTTATAACATATAATCATCAAATGAGCTCATTGGGCTGCGGGAGGTTATTTGAAATTTACAATTTGACAAGAAACACATGAAAATAAAATCAAACCCTAAATCACAAAAGTGATCTCCTTTCTCACCCTTCTCTTTCTCTCCCTCAGCACTGTTCCTCTCTGTGTCAGCAAGGTTCTCCTCTTCATCTACCTCCTCTATTCCCTTAAACTCCAACTCCTCCTCCAGGATTGTCTCCTTGCCACCCTTCTGATGGAGGAGAACAAGAAGTAAAAGAAATCAAACAATGCAACATAGATCATCCACGTGATATGTTAATAAAACAAGTATTGCACAGTTTTGATGAAAAATTGATCACTTTTCAACATTTCTTATTTTGAGTCTTGACATAAAAAAAGAACATGAAAATCTTTGTTATCAGAACTCTTTTAATACTAGCTAGTGCGTCAATGTTCCAAAAGTGAACACACCTTCATAGGCATGAAAGCTCCAGAGGAGTCAAAAGTGCCCATCTCTCCATCCTCTTCATCCGTACACCACTCAGGCAGGCCATCCCTGTCATCCTCCAACCCCTCACTGCCTGCCCGCCGGCGGCCACCACCATGACCGTCAGTGTCCCGGAAGTCAAAATCAAATTTCCTCCGTCGACTCTCTCCTGGACCACCATGGTCCCGCCAGCCTGCTGAGCGAGGACCACCATCTGATAAAAGACATTTCATAAAACATTAAGAAATATGAGGACAAATATTACAATTACAGATCTCGAGAACAACATTAAACCTGGGTTTGTCTTTCATTCATGTGCCATGGCTTTTCACTGGAATCATGTAGTTGTGTCCTTGGATCTACGATATATGACATTAGAGTTTTTGTTTGCTTGTCTTTTTGTCTCTTGTTTTCACTACAAGGCTTAAAAGTAAGCTACTTCACCATGGTCTTTTTTCTTGTATGAGCCTCTTCACTGCCACTAGATGTCACTATATCTACTGTATAGATCTGCAAGACATAGTAGGCCGACAGCTAGGCACCATAAGCTCTTGCAATATTGTGTTATATGGCCTCAAACTTAAGAATGACACTGTTTAATCAGCAGACCAGACGTCAGCAGTGACCAATGTCAGATTACAGCCTCAACAGTAAATTGCCCTAAAATTACAATCCAAAGTTACTAAATTATCTTGAAAGGAGCAAACATTGGCTCTCAGGCTATCAGAGAGCTCAAACCTCTGCTTTACTGCCTTTCTGTGGACTTTTTGTTTTCTATCACATTAAAAATTTAAAAAACAAGAGCTTCACTACAAAACAGAGTGAACCAACAAAACATTCTTTCCCCTAAATAGCATCTTCATGACCGTTTGAAAGCAGAGCTATGTTTTTGATTCATCCCCCCTCCTGATTCATCCCCCCTCCCAGTCACCACCAGTTATAAGAACAGCAATCTTTATATTAGGACTTCACCTTTTTTGACATTATATAGATAAGAGTTAGGGGATTTAAGGAAAGAGGGAATTGTATCATGAGGCTTTAGCGAATTTGAGGCAGCTCTTTTGTGAATTAATAAATGTTTGTATTTCTTATACCATCCCTACGGGGTCCAGTTAGTCTCCAGTTGCTGCCTGGCTCGGCCTCCTCCTCCTCCTGCTCCTCTCGTAGGGTGCGCCAGTTATCACTGTCAGCCCTTGCATACTCCTTCCTTAGAGGACCCGTGGGACCTCCAGACTCCTCAAAGCCAGGACGCCCCACCTCCCGACGCAGTGGCTTCTCAAATCGACGCTCACCACTGAGGAAATTTCAGGAAAAAAATTGTAACAGTTGAATAATGAATCAGAAATACTGAAGATGTTGTCATCACAGATGCTCTTATTTAGTGTTGAACAGAACTAGTTTTGTCCTAGTGAAAGCTATAATTTGCATCAAACAGATGCAGATTTAAGGTGACACTATTTAATATGGCCTACCAAAAAAAAATAATACATTAAAAACACAAAAATGTACTTTAGTTAAGTCCATGCAGATATGACTCCTACTCTAAGTCAAAAATATATCCCTCAATATCAAGGATGTTTCCCAAAAACTTGCTTTCCTCACCGGTCATCCCAGCTCTGGCTGCGGTGGATCTCACGCACACTGCGGCCAAAACCCACTTCCGCATCTTCAATACTTCTTTGGTAGAAACCACCTTCACCACGACCTCGTCCTGATGGTGTACATTGTGAGAGGGTTAAAACTATTATCAACAAAATGTAAGAATGCGTGATCACCCATTGAAGCCAATCTGAGGCATTTGCTTCACAGGACTGAGCTCTTACTATTTTCTGTAAGATCAGTTTATTCTGAATGTGTTAGATAAAGAATTTAACAAACTCAGCACAAAATATGCTTAGCGCCAAAACCAAATTAGCAACAGATGGCTACACATATTGTAACAAATGCACATTAATCATGAAACCTATGCAGCATCATTGGTCTATGTTACTTCCTTGGCTTTCCTGAACAGGATGGCTTACTTTGGCCACAAATGAGTGAATGCTGCATGTGCACGAGGTGAGTTCAGAAGCCCAGTGGTCTGAGCAGGTGTGGCTGGACAAAAGGAGGACTATTTAGACAGGCCAAGAGGAAGTGTGCAGCATAAAGATGGTGGAAAAAGGGAAATAAACACTCCAGAGTGGCTGGCTTGAATAAACTCTTACTCTCCCTGGAAAACAGCCATTGTAGTTTCAGCCAAGGGTTTTGGGCAGCAAATCTGTTGCTGTTGGACTCATGTTAGCTCGACCACAAGTGTTTGTGGATTTATAATGAGTTGGCTTAGGCTGAATCAATGCTCTACTTTATTCCTGACCATGTTTACTCTTTTGTTGCTTTTAGTTTTACCTCGACCACCTCGCGTGGCCCCACGTCCTCTGACCACTCCAGCTGGGGCAGCCCCACCCACCCCTTTTCCCATGAGCCTTAGCACCGCCACACTGTTCACAGACATGGAGAAGTTCCTCTGCAGAGAGAATGGAAAAAGCAAAGGGGAGGAATGTGAGGAATGTGAGCGCACAGCCCATTTGTGAACCAACAGAATAGCCTGCTTTGGAACTGCGCTTGTATCATGATCACATGTCTCATTTCCACCTGAAACAGATTTGATATTTGCAGGTATCAGTGTTAATCAGCACGTTTATGGCTAACCTGCTCCTCCTCAGTGAGAGGCACCAGTGCCAGTGGCTGCATGGGCTCATCTTGCAGAATAGCAGCAAACTCCTTATCCTGCATGTCCTCTGGGACCTAAAACCACCAACATGGACAGTTAGTGGGACAAAATTGACTTATTCCAAAATATCTTTTGACACTACTGACTTGAACAACATTCCTTCATAATTAAAAATCTCTTTCTTTGATTCCTACAGTTAGATGAAACTTTGTCAGGACTTGGTGCAGTTTAACTAACCTTGTTGTCTTTGATATAAAGTGCTAACATTTCCTCTCGGCCGTAGCGGTATTCGGCCAGCTTGTACTTTGGCATGGCGGGGGAAGGAGGGGGGGATGTCACACTCCCCCCACTGGACAGTGCACGGAGCCTGTGTGAGGAATTATTCAAGATTAGGACCATGGTCATCTTATTACAATATTTTTCATGGCAGTGTCAAACAGAACGAGACATTCCAAAACGAAAGTCCCATTCATGCACAACACAGGATTTCAGCTGCTCAACAGTTTTAGGGTCTCCTTAGTCATTTTGATCATGTTTTATAATGTGCTGAAGGTTTTCAGCGGGTGATTAGTTGGAACTACAGGCAGGCCAGTTTTACCACCTTGTTTAGCACCCTGTTTCTTCTACTACAAAGCCATGCTGTTGCAGAATATGGTTTGGCATCGTCTTCATGAAATTATACGAGGTTTTCCCAGAAAGGGGCATCGTCCTTAAGGCAGCATATGTTGCTCCAAAACCTGTAAGGTGTTCAGCTGTAACGCTGCCTTCGCAGATAAGTGACCTAGCCGTGCCATGTGCGCACTTTGGCATCACACCATCAAAGACGCTGGCTTTTAAACTGTGGGCTGATAGAAAGCTGGGGAAGGCTGAGGTGTCCATGGTTTTCTAAAGACTGTCAAATTTCAATTTGCTTAACCACAGGACAGTTTCCAGTTTGAAGCAGCCCTTCTTAAATGCTCTCAGGGTCAGAAACCTCATTCGCATTTGTGGCTTATATTTACACTGTTTACACTGTTTTTGTCGTTTTATGGTGCAGTTTCAACCTGACTGTGGATGCAGTTCACTGACGGAAATTTTATCTGAATGATTTAACTTCATGGTGTGTTTTTTACTACAGCCAGGATTGCCTTCAATTCAGTGCCACCTCAAGGCCTGACGATCACAGCCATCTCATGTTGATTTTGGGCCTTGGCCCTTCAACAGAGATTTCATTTGGATTCTCTTCATCTGGAGATAGCATACTATAGCTGTTAAAAATCAACCAAGCATATTGCTATAAAAAATTATAATAGTTTCTACATTTGATTTGTTGTTTCTGCACTTCTTTTAATTCAAATGATCAGTAAACCTTCAAAATCTGTTAAAATCTACTTTTCAGACAGCATCCCAAGTTTAAGAACTGGGGTATGCACATGTGAAGGGACTCAGGTGGTTAATTCCTTGAGGAATTACCATCAGTAAAAATGCTTTAACACTGTTCATGTGGTCTGCAACTTTTAGCGTGGACCACTGCAAGCTCAGCAGTTTTGTTCTGCACCATTCAACACAGCTGAGAGTACTGTAAACAACTAAGTGAAAGAGCCCTCTGTTGGGCAAACTGCTTCCAAAGAAAAAATCTTTATGTCATTACATACCAGGAGAAACACAGTCTGATACCAACATATCTGTGCAAGGTGAATACAAGATCAGTAATAATTTAGCTGTCTGCAATAATAATAATAATAATAATAATAATAATAATGATAATAATAATAATAATAATAGTAAAATTATTTATAGGCACCTTTCAAAACACCCAAGGACACAGGTATAAAACACGCAGTAAAAAAACTAATTAAAAGATGTCACAGTTTGAAAAAGAGGAGGTCTGCAGAGTGGCAGTCAGGGTGGGTATGCTTGTTTGAACAGGTTGGTTTTGAGGTGTGATTTAAAAATAGTCATGTGTTGATGTTAGAGATGTCCGCAGGGAGGGAGTTCCAGAGACTGGCTGAAGGCTCTGGACCCCATGGTAGTCACACGAGCCAGAGGGGTAGTGAGATTGATGGGGGATGATGATCTGAGAGTCCGTTTAGGTGTGTTTATGTGGAGGAGTTCAGTCAGGTACGGAGGGACGAGGTCATGGAGGTTATGGTATATTGGTTGGGCAATGAATAAGAGAAATACAATAATGCTTTGATATGTTATCAATGATCAAATAAGCAGGACATCAAATTCATGAAGAAATAAAGATACCTGTCAGTGTTTCAACAGAAAGTGTTCTTCTGTTGTTACTGCCTAAAGCAATACTTTCCACTATCAAGGGGAGCTTCAATTTAGTGTCGAAGAATTACTGACAGACAACCTGGTGTAAACTCTCCGGTGGAATGTACAACCAAAACAAATTGAGAGCTTTTGTGCAACAGTGACAAATTCCCCTTTAATCTGAATGAGAGAATAGCATTCATCTCGCAGCAGGGAAGAAAGGAATTTACTTGATGTCCTGTAACAAATCAACCCTACTCCTACGCAGGTCTCCTTCAATTCCCTTGGCTCAACACGGACGATATATTAGCTTTCCAATCTCCAGTTTTCATTTTAAACAGCTATTACCAGCAGGCTAGACTCCAAGCTCTGCTTTTTAACAATGGCTCTATTCACATGCCTCTACAAAGTGTGTCATTGACCTCTAGCAGCACATCAAAACCATATGTATCCCAAAGACGAGGAGAAACAGACGCTGGGCTTAAGAGGTGTGGCATCATGAATGGTAAGTTGGCAGCACACGCTAAATCAAATTGAGTGAAAATGGGCAGAAGTGTGACCAATGATGCCCAATAACAGAGTTATTGTTGGACCCTCAAAAGTCTTTGAGCCTATCTGTAACCACTTGGTTGTTTTTACTTAACCAAAACTGCATCTTTCCTCCCAAATAGAGGCACTGGAATTTCACAGATATTTCCTGTCCATAAATCTAAATTTAAAAGACAAACTCATCATGGTTTTATGAGTCTTAAAGAGCAATAGCTATACTGATATTGTTGCTAAGAATGCAAAGAATTTCACCAATATGACTAATACATTTGCTGACTCCACTGCCAACAAAGCTTCAAATGGTTTGACTAATTTTGTGATTCTAAAGGGCATAAAAAAATGTGTAAATATGCCAACCAGTCAGCTGTCCATGGTAAGCATCAAAACAGTTGAAACTCCATCATAAAAGTTTACAAGAATAAAATGAGCTAGAATGACCACTAAGAGAGACCCAGCTGTAGATGTGTACAGAGAGAAATGGCATTGCACCAAGAATGCACACAGCGGTCACAGGCCGTTAGAGATGGAGTGCTACCAAACTGGAGACTACGCCGCCCATTAATCGCAACACAAACACACTCTGCAGAGGCAGAGTACAAATGATTTACTGCCTCGCTCTCTTTTTTTTCTGATGTTGGAACAAAGGAATTGTGATGTGTAGAGTGAAGTGAGAATTGCAAGTTGATAAATCTGGAACAACATACGCAACAATCAATTCTACTTACTACTTTTTTTCATCAATGAGGTAGTTCATAAAACCATGAAAATGCACCTCCTTCATCAAGAAGATAAGATGTTTGGAGCTTGATAGTTTTATCAAACAGTCTACAATCCACCAATATCATAAGATATGGCTAAAAGGCAGATAAGTATATCTTGTGTTAGGCAATCCACATTATGGCTACTACATTATACTACTATAAGTATTGATATCCATCTTCAAAAAATGATTTTTTTTTTTTAATTGTGCTTAAAAAACATTACCAATTAGTTCATAGTATGGGGTGGTTCTTTGTGCTTCTTTGCACAAATTGCCACCATGTAGACATCATTTCAAAATAAAAAAGCACATTTTTGCAATCACTTTATAAAGGCAAGCTAGGTAACCTGCACTACCATTGACTGCTGTGTGTAGCTACTACTGCAATGCAAATCAAGGAAGAGGAAATGATCATTAAAAGCCAGGTACTGTACTGGACACATTGTTAGTGGAAAATGTGTGAAGCAGAACAACACAAAGATGGCGGTAAGTTTTAGAAGTGGTATAAGAGGTTTGTCACGGGGCTGGTGACATGGATGAAACATAACACTGAGCATCAGAAATGGATGGTAACATTTCAATAAGTTCATCAATTTGATGAAAACTTTATGAAATAATGTGTCGCTCCACACGCTTTGCCTTTCCTCTCTCTGACAGATTGTGATGATTTTATTTTAAGTTTATTAGTTTATATCACAATTATAGTACAGTGAAAAGGTGGTATTATGACAGACAGGTAAAACTGCACTTAATAAAATCCACTATCGGGGTTCAGCTACTAACTTTAAGTCTGTTAAGAACTAAATACTATGTGCACAAGATGACTATGTAACAAGGCCAAAATTTCCTGAAGAAAATTCTGTAGAATTTGAACCGCACCAACTCACAAACACAGATACTTGATTTAAATTTGAAAAGCTTAAAACATTTCAGAAAATTTACTAAGTCATGATTAAAGTGACAGAAGTCACACATTCTCTACATTTTATATTTGAATGTCCCATCTGTCTTCAGAACAAACAAACAAAAAATGAAGAGAGATGAAATATTGTAAAGAAGTCAGATAAGTTACCATTCTGGGCCGAAGTTAAGAGTCTCAGCAGTCATATTCCTCACGTCCACACAGAACTGAGTATCTGAGGAGGAAAAAAAATACAGTCTTATTTTTTGGCCTTTAAAGTGCCTGAAAATATAAACAGATAAGAAATATATGTCTTCTGAAGCATCTTACCCTGTCCAGATGATAGGAGCAGGCTGGACTGAGCTGGACCAGGCTAGAGCTGGCTGGCTTTAGTTAGGCTTAGGTGACTAAAAGGCTGAGTGGTGCTTAAGCTGTGGTCACAGAGCTCCCCAAACACACAGACAAAAAGAGAATAGCTGCCAGTTTCAGGTGCTTGAGGAATACCAGGTTATAAGGTCCTAACTGGTTAAGGAAGGGGGTTTGACAATAGTTTGGAGAATGGAAGCTCCTGCTACTCACAGCCGAAAAATGTTGTTAAACGTAAAAAAGAAACAAAAGAACCTTAGAAATCAACAATGGAACAAAATAAAACAGTTTGCTTGTTTTCTTTTCTTTTTTTACAGCAGTAATATCTCACATCGAAGTTTAAAATATGAACTGATTCATCAAAAAGAAAACGCAGGAACAAAATAACAGCCAAAACAATGAACAGGCTGCTGGAACAGCTGCCAAGAGCAGACGCGACTCGCACTCCTCTTCTCCTTTCTCTCCGTTTCTCTCTCTCTCTCTCTGTGCCTTTTTCTCTCCCTCCAACTGAAATGTGGATTGATGGAGACCCTCCAGGTAACTCCTTGATTTCCCGTCCTCCTCCTTTTGCACCACTGGAAATGAGATGGAAAGCATGGTGTTAGAAGTGAACACATGACTAAACTGATGGTGGGGGGAGCATTTTCTCAACTTGGCAGCCTGCCTTTGTGTTTGTGATAGGAAAGAAAACGTAATTCAATTTTTCAATGAGGAACCTTGACACACCAATTTTGCAGTGTCAACTCTAACTCCCGAAAGGCACAACCCAATTTGATCAAGCATTTAGAGCACTCTAAGCCGAGTGAAACTTGAAACTATTTGTAGTCTAATGTTCAGTCATGGCTGAACTTTACTGCCCCTTATAGGAGATTCTTCATCCAGAAACCCAGAGTCTATTTCAGCGGCCTTATGAACCAGCTGCTTCTAAAACCACACTTCTGCTTAGGTCGAACATATGATTTCCGGGATGCAGAAAACACTGACGGACAGAAACACAGACTTAGATGATAATAGTGGCATCAACCCTAAAATGTGGAATGTCGTGAAATTTGCTGAAATGTAGTTGTTCTTCACTGAATTCAACTCATACAATACTTCAGCAGTATGGCTGTGAAACAATTATACACTTTTTCCTTTTTTAATTCTTAAACGATAACCATCCATAATCAATAGTTTTAATAATCTCTTTTCATTAATAGGCCTTGTCCACTTGCTGATTGCCTTTTGTAAGAACAGAATATGGAGTGAAACATCTCAAATCACAAGTTGGGTTATTTGGGCATCTGTATGAAGTATCCTGCCAATGAATAATTCGTTATGTTTAGGATATTTCACTGAGATGTTGAATTGTTGGCACTTCTTTCATCACATTTTTAGACACTCTTCAGGTGACAAAATGTGGACAGATCATAAAAGAAATAATTCAGAAAAATTTAAGTGGAAAACAGGATTAAGGGAAACTTAAGATGGAATCGAGGAAAACTGATTTCACAGGTTTCAGTTAAACTTATCTATGCTTATATTGAGCTTATAGATGGTCAATGTTTTTCCAGATATAAAAGACCGAGCTTTGTCAAATTATAACGTTTTGACTAAATTCTTTTTTTCAAGATAAAGAGGTACATTATGTGAATTTATAAGATTAAGTAAGCGTGACAAGGGGCAACCCTTTAAAACACTGATAGGATCATCAGTGGCCTACGAGGGCATTAGTGTAACCACGATGTTAAACAACTATGCGTCGAAACGATGCAGATTGCAAGCCTCATTATTATCTGTACCACTGGCCCCTGCCTAAACTGACTCAGCTTTCCTTCTTTGCAATAACTGCAGCATAATCATCTGCTGCTCAACATTTATCAGCTCCATCTCCAGCATAATATGCCCCGATTTAGTTGGCATGGTTTCCTGTGCACAAACAAGCAGCGAATGTGGTGGAATTGGACACTGGTGAGATGAATAGTATACAAATGCCACTGCCAACTACTGTTTAGGCGAAGTACTGCAGAGCAGAGGTTGTGCTCACAAAGGCATAGGCCACTACAGCATAAACACAGCATAGAATCAAAGCAAAAAACATGGTCCACACTTCTGTAACATTAAACCAAATTACAGGGAATGGAGTGATTTGGGTTTGAGCTTTTCTATATTTTTTTGTAAAGCACATCAATGCCCTTCCTGATGAAAGCTCTGGTAAAATTGTCTGAACTTTAAGAGTTTATTCACATACACATCAAAACTTCTCTATACAGTCAATGCATGATTAGTTTGTGATTATTCATAAAAAGCTATGTTAAAGCAGTTGTCCAGTTTGCCACAATCTAAAGATACTATTATTGTTTCCATAAGTTAAGACTGTTTTCCGCTCTTTATTAATCACAAACTCTTCTATTGATGTGAATGTCTACATTGACCTCAAAGAGCCACTGTACAGTAACAGAGTAATCTCCATGTCTGTTTAATGCTTAAAGAGTGGCACTATTTGGCGTCCTGATGTGGAAGTCAGCCAGAAGTGATCCCACTAATATCAGTGAATCACAATGAATGTGTAAGAAAAGAAAAGCCGCAAAGCTTGCTGACGACCAAAGCAATGATATCAAAAAGCAAGGTACAGAAAAGACCAGAGAAATAACCAAGTCACATTTCTTACCATGTACGATGTTTATCATATTGTATTTTGCAATATTATATCATACATGGTAACACTAATTATTATCGACATTTATTTTCGACAACATTGCAAGACATCCCTTCTGTTCTCACTATTACAGAGCAAAAAACATTGTGTAGATCAGTGAAAAAAAAAATAAACTGCTGGGGTAGAAAGTAATTCACTTCATTTGCTCACAATAATGGAAGCTTTTCTTTTTGTGCACTTGTGCTTTCCACATATTCTCTTATGTTAAGTAAAGTACTTTTCTAGATTTTAAAAAGCATCAATTACGAGACAAACAACTGCAAGAACACACAAGCTTTCAATCAACTGCATCTCAGCCACCTGGTTGGGTTATGTCTACACAAAAAAACTCAAATCCTACTTTAAAAAATTGGTCTCATTTCTAGTCAAAAATATCTTAATACTCATGTTGTAAAGTTATATCCAATTTTCAGGATATTTTAGCAAAAAATTCTACACTAGTATCTTTAAACCAATAAAATATTGTTTCAAAAATCCTACCAAGAAAATTTTGCTTGCTACACCGAAAGCAATTTCTGGCTCATAGTAACAAGCCTTTATGCACAGCCAGCCATGACCAGAGTGTGCTGTGACCATCTGAGAAGTGCATTACTGACCTGTTCTCCAGCACCCAGCCATTGGAAATCTAACATCCGTCAACTACTACATGCACACATTTATCCTGGAGGCTTTTGATCCCAATAATCTATTTATGAAATACACTTTTGTACGCTTTGCAGGGCATAACTTACTCTCTTCACCCCAACATATTCAGTGTAGGTTGGCCAACTCAGTAGCATATATAAAGATCTATAGCTGCAAAAATTAGCTGACTTACTTCTACTTGACCAAAATATCTTTTCAGTAACAGTACTTTTACGAACAGTTTAATTTTTTTTAACTCCTTAACCCCTAAATTTCATTTTGTTTTACACACATTATTTATGATATTGTGTGCCTGATTTATAAGTGCTGTATATTGGACAATTACAGAAAACGTATTGCTCACATTTTGTATAATTGCTTTCTTAGTCATTTGACCAATTGGATGAAAATAGGCACGAAAGAAGAGAAATAAAAACCTACAGCTATTTTAGCACACAAGATCAAATCGATATACGGCATTCAAATATCATCTTAAGCAAGAAAGTGGTGAGTCAGGATCCGACCAAAAGTCAAACTTCGGGCTCTGAACGGAAAATTATATCAGTATATGTATGTGGCAATACGCTAAACTGTGCCATGTTAACATGACAGTAAAGTTAGCTCTCATTTAGTCAGATGAATTTCATTGTCATTAATTTGAGTGTTTGCGAATGCTATACATTCCAAAACGTGGCGGTTACCATTTCAAGTAGATTAAGTAGGGTTTTTTTTAATGAAGGTATTCGTAACATTGGTTTGCAAAAAAATTTAGTCCTAAGGTTGATTAACATTTAGACAAAATGTTAGCATGGCTTAACGTTAGCTAACGTCAGTGGCTACGAGCTAACGCTGTTTGGCGTGTACATTGTTCGACTTTCAAACTAATTTCAGCAGAAACATCAGTGGAAATAAAAATAATTCAACTATAGATGCAACAACATTTGCCACAGAATATCATATTTCACTTGTGAAAAAACAGAGAGGCGAATAGCTAGCTTTAAAAGCAATTAAAATGCATCCGTTTTAACGCCGGGCCTTTGCTTCTTGGTTCAAATGACACCAGATATGATGGCGGAGGGGGCGGAGTGTTGGAATCAGACTCCCCGGCCTACTCCGCCAATGTGCGGACGACCACCTCCACTCCACTGTCGGTGTTACACCACAGCTAACGCAAAGTAAACACAGCAAATACAAAGATATGAAAACAGGAATTCGCATTTTGAGTACACGAAAGAAACCTGGTACAAAACCATTATCGCCAACCATAAATTCATGCCATTCGAGCAGCAAGAGCGGAGGTTAGCTCATTAGCACACGTTAGCCAGCTAGCTAAAGACAAGCTGCAAAGAGGAACCATGGCTTACCTTCACTGTTTATAGCTACCAGACTGGTTGTCTGCACGGCGTCTTCACAGCCACTATATTATATGCATTGGTCTCTTTAAACACTGTAAACGTATTTATTCGACAGAATCGTACTTTCACAAAGTCGCGCTCTGTATTTTATTTATTATTTTCCCCCTCGCCTCCAACTGTCGCAGCTGCGTATCAGTGTGTGTCTGCTGGCTCCTGGTCGCTGCTCTTCTTGTTGTTTGTGTTTCGGAAACATGGCCGTCCGTGTGATACCACGTGACTGGACATTGACAAGCGGCTAACCAATGTTGTAGCAGAGCAAACACACCCCTATTTACTAGCCAGGACAGCAGTGTGTCTCGTACTTTGCAATGGTATGTTCAATTTCAGAGCAAATTCACAACATGTTTTTCTGGATGGAACGACGTGCCGGTGAACGTAAACGATTACTGCTTTCTTTATGAGAGACGTACATTAAAACGGACAGCTTGGTATGCGCAAGGCAGTAGCATGGGTATAGAATGGCGACGACATAGCTGTCCGTACATTTTCGAGTTAATAGCATCAGATATTAAATGCATCATAGCAGCATGTGTGCATTTTTTATCAATACCCTTGAAAGTGAACTGGATACCTAGCAGGGCATGTTGAAGGCAATCTCGCACTGAGCTTGCGCCGCATGGATGGCGCTGTTGAATACATTTATATTTCCAAAAATATGCAGCTATCTTTGCACAAGTCTATTTCATATACTTACACCCTGTCACTTTGAAATCTGGGAATTCCTAACATAGGCTACCATAAACACGCATGACTGAAGCACAAAGTTGTTTTAAAGTGTACGCAAAATTCCGCCTAATTGAAGAATTAAAAAGAATATGTTTGTTTTTAATCGTTCAATAAAGGCATAAACACTTCGAGTACTGAACACCTATTTAGACAATTTAGGACGCGGAGAGTAACTATGTAGGCCTAAGGGCAAATTTAAGGAAGTCTGTAGTGATCAACAGCATTAATGTAGGCAGTTAATTTGGCTGCCTATTCATATTCAGGTGAAGTTATTTAACATTTTTGCAGCACCCTTTCTCAGAAAACCACTTTGTAGATGGCCTGTGCACACATAAGTCGTGGCTGGCCATCACAAGCCAAAAGTAGATCAATACATCAACTAATTTTTTTAAATATGTTATTTCAAGGAACTTATCCAGACAATGAAAATAATTTTCGTATAGATGATCAAAGGGGGAATGTTGCCTAATTACTGAAAGAAGTGCATTGTAACTGAAAACATGGTGTAAACCTTACTGGTGCACAGGATGTGGTGCATATTCCAAAAATAAATTAAATTACCACAAACAATGACCATCACACAAAAGCAGCAAAGACAGAAGATGAACCAGGAACCTAGGCTCAACAATGGCTCATGAAAACTCAGTTTTTCCAGATTAATCTCTACAACCTAGTCCAGTTGTAAATATGTTTCTGTATCTTCTTTCCACACAAATAAATGTAAAGGCTACAATTAGGAAAGGTGTTTGTAGTTACACTAAATGATCTCTAGATGGCAACAAACACATCAGTTTTTTTATCCTTTTAATGAACAGTTAAGGCTCAAAATTTTAAATAAAATCAATTGAAGTGTCATCCAAGTGTTTCAACTTAAAGTTGCTGAATTTCTTTAAAACATTTAGAGTAATGGTCAACATAGTTAAAGAACATTCATGATTTAGGATATATGTCCCTTCATTTAGATTTTGTATATGTGTGACTAAAAGGTTAATTGACAGGGCTCCCAAGTTTTGAACTAAGCTTGAAGTGAGATTTTCTTTTTTTTTTCTAAATTAATTATTTATTAATAATTGAAAATAATGTATTAAATAATCTAATAAAGGAAAAATTCCTTTACACTAAATTGATTGTTAAATTTACAACTTTCAGGACAAAATAAGACAACAAGAAAAAAGACATATGGCCAAAACAGCCGGGGAGCCAAATTCTCAAAAGCTCAATAAAATGGGTTGAACCTAACATGGTCTGCAGTACTTTTTACTTGTGTTTTTTCTCTTAACTTTGACCCTAAGAACCAACAATTGGAGGGTTTGCTCTGCCAGAAACATCACAAAAAAATGATGTGGCCATTTTACTGTATGAACCCTTCATTTTTTGATAGAACGTTTTTGAATAATGAAATTTTTCCTCAAATCCTCAGTGGGTAAGCTGTCAATAAATGCATTCCAGGTGCACAGAACACATGATGACAACATCCAATAAAAAAAGAAGTCTTAAAATATTTTTGTACATGATTTTGGCTAAATTTAATGCAATTTTTTTTTTCACTTTTTCCAATATTTTCATCTCTACTTAACTGGCAATCAACTATTCGCCCAGGTTAGGACATCAGTCAATATGCCATTCTTTTCACCAAACAGTATTCTCATTCCACAGAAAAAAAATTATACAAATCTTATCAAAATCATTGGATCTGGGATGATTTTACTACTAGTTGGTGATCAACAGGCTCAGCACCTTAACTGAATTTTAGAGTACTCTCGAAATCCCATAAGACATAGGCCTACAGATATTTCACATGGCTGTTAATGTCCACATTATTAAACATCTTAGCCTAGCCATCTTTTTGATTTCAATATAGCCCTGTTCTTTTAATGTGTCACACAAGAAATATAATTTTCGGCACTTCGATTTGTGACATCACTAATAGGCACTGTGCTGTCAATAGGAAACCATCATTTGATGTGGGTGGAGGGATCAACCTACATAGAAACTACACATATGCCACGAATTCTGTTGTAGTATGATGTGTGTAAATATATGTCTGACCAAAATGAAGCATGAATAAATGTATGTAGAAACCACATGCCTGCTTTAATTTTAAGATGTTGGAAACAGACACGCAAATATCAGTTTATCACTTAGTCATTAAAAATGAAGCAAATACAAAACAGGGGAATTTCTAGTCATCACCTATTAGGAGCCTGTGAATGAATGCATAGCTGAACAAATGTTGTAGGGAAAGATAAGCCAGTTATCCAACCAGTAGGTCCTCTGTTAGCTACTGCTGATTTACATACCTAGTTTCCAACAGCCGTTACACCTGTGCCACAAAGAGCCCTTCTGAGTAACTCTTCTCAACCATGATTAGTTTTATTTTAAATTTCAGTGATGCCAACTGATGAGGACATTACCAGATTTTTTTCTTACCTTATTTGTAAGATCATGCATCTATTTTGCATCTGCATCCTGTCCATCTCCCTGCTGACAGCTTCTCCCAGGGTGAGTGCAAGTGTTTCAAACAGTTTCAGAGACTGCAGCCATTTCTTCTACATGCAGACACCACCTGCAGAAATAAAGGGACCCTCTCTGAAGAGGATCTGCCAGAAGTATGCAGACAAACTGCGCTACGCCACGCTTTATGATAGCAGTCGCAGGCTGCCCCTATACTCAGCCTACATATTCAAGAAGTCTGATGGGAAGAGAAGGATGGACACACCATGGATGTATGAGCCACAGGTAGAGGACAGAAATGTGGGCTTATTTTATTTGTGACTTGTGTCTGAATTAGCAAACTATCAATTGGCATATTGTCATCCTATTAAAATAATGTCCTAAGTCTTTTTTTTTTTTTTTTTTTTTTTTACGAAAATGAGTTTTTGGCCTAAGCCAAAAACTCATTTTCGTCAAAAAATGACTTAGGACATTATTTTAATAGGGTGACGATATTAGGTGACAACAAACCTATGTCCATCAGTTGGATGGTCACCCAAGTTGCTCTTAGATCAGTGATTATTATAGTGAAAGACCAAAGTTGAAGAATTAGTTTTTTTTTTTTTTTTTTTTAAATAAAATTAGCAATGGTGCACCTGTAAGGACTGACTTGGGGTCAAGGCTTCTTTCATTTCACTGGTTGCTGTTGGATTTTTTTATAGTCAAGAACCTGAAGGTCTTCAGACCTCATGTCAAACAAAAAACAGTCTCACCCTTTCTTATCCTCATGTTGTTAAAACTCCCACCACTTTATCATGTCGACGTGCCTCTTTGGATTATTTTCATTCATAAAAAGTTAGATATTTTGTAAAGTATGCTTTTCCATTCTGTTGTGAGAGCTGGGCAAGAAGAGAACCACTACTCTTGGGCCTATTTGCACAGTAAATCAAATCAAATTTTATTTATATAGCGCCAATTCACAACAGTCGTCATCTCAAGACGCTTTTCAAGGAACAAGAGCAGGTCTGGACCACGCTCATTGTTTGAAGATCAAGAACCAACCTAAGATGGGTTTTGGCCCATCTCAATTAACATGAGTAACAGTGGCAAGGAAAAACTTCCTTTTAACAGGCAGAAACCTCGGGCAGGACCAGCCTCATGTAAGACAGCCACCATGCCGCTGCTGGGTTGGGGAGGGATGTAGAGAGAAGAGGGGAGAGGGGGAGAGGACAGGGGGAGGGAGAGAGAGAACAAGATAGGGGAAGGCGAGAGAGAATGAGTACGGAGAGGGAGGGGGAGGGAGAGAGAGTAGGGAACGAGGGTGAGAGAGAGACAGGGGGCAGGGTTAGTAAGTAGCTGTAGCCAGTTGCATGTTAGCTTAGTTTCGCTTGAAGCCTCTCTCCCTCAGTGTCACAGATTTACAGCTTTATCATAATGCCATTACCACATCACTTGTAATTAATCACAGAATGGTGTGCAGAAATCAATTAGCTATATTTTAATTGATGAAAGCTCACCCTGCTAATCTTGGGTAACCAACCTCCAGCATAAACTCCATACTGTAATGTCTTAATATCTTTGAAAGTAAAAACTCTGAAGGAGTAGGGAAATTTGCTAATTGTACATATTTGAGATGAACCAATTCATTGGTCAGCCAAGTTATTGTGAAGATTGAAGGCATTTTGAAATAACTGGTTTCAGCAGATTTCTGGGCTCAATAGAAGGGTGACCAAATGTGCAGTTTTCCTAGGACATGTCCTGTTTCTACATTCTGACCCGGACATCTTTTTTTTTTTTTTTAAGTGATGTAAATGTCCTGGTTTAGGTTGTTTTTCATTGGGCCACTAAAATGAAGGAGAGAACCAAAGGTATAGAGGATCTCATTGCCAGGCAGAGTTTTGGTTTTTGTCCTGGTTTTTGGTAATCAAAATATGGTCATCCTACAATAGACCAATTAAAAATAAATAAATTATGTCTGCAGACACTGCAGGCAGCACACAGTGTGGCTGCTGCGATGTAGCCATAGTCACACTGACGGCTGTGACTATGGTGAATAAGCCAGTTTGAGCCCTGTGCTCTTTCTTTAACTCTCTTGCACCTTTGCTATAAAGTTTTTTCTCAAATTTCCCCAGTCCCTGCTCATCTCCTCAACATGTTTTACCTATCCTAAATGACAGGACATCCAATCCAAAAACAGTTACTGGCTAGTGTGTTGTGTAAATTCTGTAATGATGTATAGACAGTTCAAAATTGCTGCTGTCATGTTCTGAAATCTAAAGCATAACCATTGTATTTCTCGATTTTATGAAATCCACCTCAAGCGTATTACTAGTTCAGACAACCATAAATATAAGATTGTAATATGCATGATTTTTTTTACCTGAATAGTTACCTTGTTCATGGGAGTTCAACATTTTTCATTTGTTATCGTCAATAAATTATAGACTTTTATCGGATGTCAAAAATAGTACAACAATTTAATATTAGTATTGTATATTGGTCATCAAATGAGCCTCCCTCTTCCAATAATTAGCATTGGCAATGGTGTCTTTACTGCATTACTGTCCTTTGATCTAACTTGGCACACTTACCCTCATTTCTTTTATTTCTCTTCCATATAGCTGGTTTCTGTTGGTGAAAGTGGCAACATGAGAGCTCTTCCTCTTACCGATGACACCCCCCCTCTGATTCAGGACAGCCAGGCCATTCTGGAGGACTACACAGATGCTGTAGAATTTAGACGTGGTCCCCTGAACCCTGACCTGCACCAATCAGAGTTAAATGACAAATCCTCCACATATACTCTGACCAATGTTGTCCCATTATTTATAAACTTTCTTGAAAATACCTGGAACCCATACTTGGATGTCATACGTCGTCGCCTCAACAACTTCTGCCATAGCAAGTCATTCATAGTGACTGGGGTCACTGTCTCTGGTGCAACAATCAAACAAGAAAACAGGAACCGCTTGGCAATACCAAAATACTTATGGTTGGCTTACTGCTGCCCAAGGTTTGACCGTAACTCTCCGTATGAGGTGAGGTTCATGTTCCCCAGTTTTGGAGGCTATGCGCTAAATGAATACGCTGTCCAAAAAGTGGTGGAAGTCCCCCTAAATACTCTGGAAACTTTCCTGAAGAGTCAGATTGACAGTGATGGTGACATGACAATTTTCTACAAAGGCTGTGTGTCAGAAAACACCTTTAAGAAGAAGAGAGACTTAAGCAGAGGGGGATCTTGAGGATCAGTCACTGAAGTAGACCATAGACTGTATAAAGAATAGTAGAATAGAATAGAATAGTATATACAGTCTATGAAGTAGACGATGAAAAAAATTCACCAACTATTTCAAATGTCAAAAAAGGACACTCACCTGTGTTTTTGTGTTTTCTTTTCTTTTTTTTTTACATGCTTGTAGAATTAAAGGGCAATGAGTACAAATAAGTCAGTGTGAAGTAGTAATTAATAGGAATTACAGGCAGGACTGATACAATAATACTCTACTTGATTTTGTGGCGAAGCAGGGACAATTCAAAGGATGGCAAAGCGTTGCCCTCTTCTCTAAATCTCATTGGCTATCCCAGTGGTCACTCCAATATCCTAATCCATGATTGGCTTTCTGGCCTTATCAGAGGTGGGTCATACATTCAAAACAACTATAGAAGCTGTGTGGTAACAGGTTCTATGCAGTTTAAGACATTTGAGCTGAACTTCGACTATTTTTACTCTAACTCGTGACTTTGGTTAGACTTTTGAAGCCTTTAAGATTTAAACTAAGAAGATTTATATGTTGCAGTTTTATCATGGTACTTTTTAAAGTTTAGGTTTACATTCAGGAATATTACGTCTATGTTATTAAAAAGTGGGTTTAAGTAGATATTTTCAGGCAGAGAAGGTTATCATGGTTCAATTTTGGTCGTTTACACACAATTACCTCATGCCACCTCTGTAACAGTAAGTTTAGCTACTCAAGTCAAAAAAGCCTAGTCCCACTCATGTGGCAGAGGCCTCAAAGCTGTTAGGCATCCACACAGACATCCTCAAACTCATGGTCATGCCCTCTGAAGTAACGTTTGATTCCATGTCTTGCCCTAGGACACTTGGATAAGTGGACTAGGGGAGCTGTGGACCAAACCACCAACACTCCAGCTAACAGAAGGCCTATGTTACCTGAACTTTGCATAATGTCAGGCATACGTCTTTAAGAAATATCACGTTGTTTCCGAAATAAATCCGGTTTATGTTGTGTGACAAAAAGAAGAAGCTTACATGGATCAGCCAGAGGAGGACGTTAATATGTTTTTTGACTAAACAAGCATCTGCTTTTAACCTTTATTAAAAATGTGTTGTTGTGTCTCTTATCTTTTCTTGTTTTTTTTGTAAAATAATGGATAGATTTTTCTGATAAGTTGTCATTTTTCAGTTAACACCAAATTAAGTAAACAGAAATCTGTTTTGTTACTTGTATTTTATGATACGACACTGAAAATGGAGTGTCAAGTCCCCACATGTATTTATTTCATGTTATAGTCTTAAAATCTTAATCGTGAAGTAAATTTGTCTGTACACATAGCCTTGTCTATATTTCCAAGATTTTTTAAATGATAAGTATATTCATGATAAGAAAGCATGTCATTAAAACTACTCATATTTCCCTTTGATTATGATGTTGGCTGTACTTTTGGGAGAAGTTAAATTCAAAGAGGGAACACCACATGTTACAAATAGAAGTTATGAAGAGGTCAACATCCTTCACTAAGCAATTAAACCGCTTTTATAACAGCTTTACTGTTTGAATAAGATACACTTTTACAGTATATTCAAATATTACCTGGGGCAAGCTGAACCTTGACCAGAACTAGTCCATCCTTGTGGACAAAGTCTCCAATGCTCTTTAGGCAGCATTTCAATTTCCATAAAAGTAACAGAGTTGTTTAAAATGTTAGGACTTTATAGAGTGGTCTGGGATACAAGCCTTATTCCATAAAAACTTAACCTCCCTGTCTTACAAATGGTGAGGAACTGTTGCTGCAGGCCCTCTTCCTGACAGTCCTTATCCATTCAATAAAGTCATCTATGTGTGTGAGAATAGTCATTATTGTACACTTTCAAAATAACATACTTGGTCGTCTTTTCACTGCCTGTCTAATTCAAGCTGCCTTTCCTGTTAATCTGTAGTACCTCTAAATTGGGGATTATTTGTTGTTGTTGTTGTTTTTTAGATAATATAAATCCAAAAAATAAGTGTGAGACAAGACTTTCCCCATAATTTACTATTGTAGGCATGATATACCTATTAAATTTGACCAAAAATAAAACTTTGTGTAAACTTCATGAATGTGTTGAATATGAACTTTTTAATCCCACTAGTGAGTAAAAAGTGTATTTCTTTGCTATTAATATAGCTCTTACCCTGACTGTAGGTGGATCTTCTGGAGTGTGAGGAGTGAATTGTTTTGCATACTAAATACTGATAGCAGAGAGCAAAGTGTCAAACCTCCATGGTTGTTTTACTGAGCACCATGGATAGATATAGAGACACATTCAAATATTCCTAGAAGTTAGTAGAGGCAAACAGACTCACCTTTGCAGTCATTAACACCTCGCAAGAGTCCCACCAAAGTCCTCCTGATTATGGCATTCTGGATGAAGACGGCTGTCCTTTTTGTCAACATAATAACATCAGCTGTTAGAGGAAGAGTGGAAAAAGAGCTGTCTCCAGAGTGCAGAGACTTCCTCTACATGGGAACACCACCCACTGGAGTGGAACACAAATCCCTCCAGTTCATTTGTCAACATTACAACAAGAAGCCACGCTATGTGACGCTGTACAACATTGTGGACCATATACCGGTTTACTCAGCGTACACTTTCAAACGCTCAGATGGAGAGAAATGCGTGGATGTTCCATGGATGTATGAACCCCAGGTAAGGCAAAATTAAATGATGAGAATGAGGTGCTCAAAACTAGGCTTTGACTTTTTTGTACTGAATTGATGTGGCTTGATGTTTTCTTGAGAAAATCCTCCAGAAGCTTTATTTGACTAAGTTGTTCTGTCCTACCTTCATTCCTTATCTGTCCTCACTCTATCTGCCCACACAGCTATCCACTGGTTCTGACACAGATGAGATGCAGCCTTTCCCAAGTGGTTACATGCACATGAACTTTGAAGATGCCCAAGCTGTTCTGGAGGATTACACAAATGCCATCCATTATGAACGTGGCACCTTAAACCCAGACGAGCATCAAGATGAACCAGACGACAAAGCCTCTACTTATACCCTCACCAATGTGGTACCTGTAGTGCCGTACTTTAACAACAGAGTTTGGAACAAACAGGAGCATATCATCCGCAAAAGACTTAATAATTACTGCCGTGGAACAGCGTACATTGTCACAGGTATCACCACCTCAGGGAAGATGATCCGCCGGCACAACATGAACCGCATTGCAGTGCCCAAGCACTTATGGTCTGCTTATTGCTGTGCTGACTACGACCACAACACACCCTATAATGAGCGCTATAAATTCCCATCTTTTGCTTACTATGGCCTCAATGAGCAAAACAACGAGGTGGTAGAGGTCTCAGTCCAGAAGCTGAAGGAGTTCCTTAAGAGGACAACCTTTGTAGATCAGAACTTCCAGATCTTTGTGGATGACTGTGTACCACCCACGTCTAATTAAAGTAATTAGGCAAATGTAAAGCTAGTATGTGCCATGCTGACCAAAATATCATGGTCACTTTATGTTTTTTTCTCCTTTATTTGGCCTTTTTTTCTGTATGACTCCATAAAGTAAGAAATGTGCAGGTTGTACTAATAATAATGACAGTAACTCTGCTGTATTTTAGCATGGCAGAGTGGCAGTGTTATAGTGATTCTCTGTGCAAAATACAGTATATTAATGCTGAAACTAAGCTTGATGCTATTCATTCATACGTGTCAGCCACGATTTTGTCTTAACTGAGTCTCATCATTAAAAATCATGTTAAAAACATGGAATTCTCATTTCTGGTATACACACTTAGAAAACATGTTATTTAACAGCATTCCCACTGTATTTTAAACAACCACCAGGAATAATTTGACATAACCTATAATAACATGTTGAGAAATGTACTTGCTTTGTGTGGTTTAAAGCAATAAACTGTTGCAAACTATAATTAAACAGCCTCTAAAGTTTTTTTTTTTAAACATTCAAGCACATGCAATGGTATTGTGACAGTTTTAATCACTTATAAGAAGTTGCATCCTCAAAAGAAAACTGGTAATCTAAACTAGAATCAATGCTATAAAGCCCATTTGGTTATTGAATTGTTTATTTCAAGGATTTCAAAGGAGTTTTATTTGTCATTCCAGTCTGCAAGAGAAAAAAATGAAACTAGAACTGAGGACAAGTTTTTCTCCCCCATACAGCCCCCCTTGCCTACTGTTGCTCTAGCCTGTTTCATATTGCAGTTTCACTACAGGAACAAATTTCTGCCATCATGACAGCATCTCATACTGAAACAACACAACACTGACATAAGGGGGCTTTGAGTTTTCCTTTAACGTATTCTTTGATGATATTTCTCTGTAATATGTGGATCTAGGTGTGTGTTATTTTACCTGGCTGCAAAGCAAATTTTAGCCTCTGCTGCTACCTCCACCCTTAAAACTTTGCTTCACCAGAATACCCCAATCCACGTGTTGTAGACAAAGAGAGACAGGCACATGCCCTAAAATGACAGTATGTAAAAGCCACCAACAAGAGTAATAATAAAAGTGAACGTGAATGCAAATTGTCATTGCTAACTCTTTTTGTGCATCTTACCTTAAGGGAAGGTTTTATTTTTTTCACTGAGAATATCAACTCATCTTTTCCTCTCCTGTCCAGAGTAATAAAAATGTTCCCTGTGACTGATAACATTCACCACTTTTGAATTACTCCTGTGAACACTTGTGGCAGTTTGAATATATGGAAAAGACTTCACAATGGCAGACCAGTTTGCTCAAAGTAGAGATGAGGCAAGCTGGAACAGGAACCATACTTGTTTGACAATAGCTGATACAGCCTTGAAGGATACACAGAACTAAAGGAGGTCAAAAGGGACACTGACATTGTAAGACGAGGGTCAAGAGCTCTAGTGATGATACTTACATTTAAAAACAGGGCCTTTGTCCTGGCAGCTGGAATGACCACGCTGACCTTGGTGTTGCTACAAGAGGCCAGGGCAGGAGTGGTGGAGGATTTTAACCATGCAGAGCGTTGCAAGGACTCACTGTACATGGGCACTCCACCCAGAGGCTACCTCAGCAGCTCATTTAAGAGGATCTGCCAAAGGTATGAGGATAAACCGCGCTATGTCACTGTCTATGACACTCACAAACATATCCCCATCTACTCTGCTTATACCTTCAAGAAGTCAGACGGAGAGAAGAAGGTGGACTTTCCTTGGATGTTTGAGCCTCAGGTAAGTGCTCTTTCAAGCTTCATCTGAGTTGTAATATTTGCCCAGATTAATAAGAAGTTTGTTTTCAGTTTAGATTCTCAAACTCATGTGTGAGGGATCAAGTAAATGTGTTTTTCTTATGCATATTGAGACATCACACAAACCATGATAAATGGTTTTGTTGCTTTTGTTGTATTTGTGTTTATATGTGTATCAATAAGCATTTTAGGGAGCTGGGACAACATTACTGTTGGTACAGGAAGAAAATTCAGTTAGAGATAAGTTTCTTTATTAGCACTGAATAGTATTTGAGACACCTTTGCCTTGGCTGTATAGTGAGTAGGTATGCAAATCTGTCATTCTTTTGTGAATGTGGCAATTTGCATTGCAAACAAATTATTTTCAACTTAGTTTTTTACAGAAGTTTAAAACTGTCAACTTCATTCCAATACTAAGCCTTACTCTCTTTCTTTTCCTCTGCAGCTGGCCTCGGAAAAGAGCAGCAGCAACATGGAGCCCTTTCCCCAATCTGCAAGCATGCATATGAACTTTGAGGACACTCAAGCAGTCCTGGAGGACTTTGCTGATGTGGTTCAGTATGAACGTGGCCAGCTCAATCCTGATGAGCACCAGGCTGACCCTCTGGACAAAGCTGCTACTTACAGCTTGACAAATGTAGTACCTCAGATAAGAGAGTTTAACATGGGTCCATGGGCAGAGCACCAGGACATCATTCGCAAACGTCTCAACAACTTCTGCCGTGGAAAGGCCTTTGTGGTCACTGGGGTCACCACCTCTGGGCACATGATCCGTCGTAGCAACTTAGACCGGGTTGCTGTACCAGAGTACATGTGGTCAGCCTACTGCTGCACTGAGTTTGACCAAAATGCACCATACTTTGTGCGCTACAAGTTCCCTGTGTTTGGAGCTTATGGGCTAAATGATAGAGTCAACAACCACATGGTGGAAGTTCCTCTAAAGAACCTGGAGAAATTTCTCAAGGGGAGGATGAATGTGGATAAGAATTTTCAGATTTTCTATAATGATTGTGTACCTGACAACTAGAGGATCTGCCATCAAAGTTGAAAGTGTTACCATTGCTCAGGGGTTTGGGTTCTTGCAGCTCAAAATATATATATGTGAAACAACAATGTGTGGTAAACTTAGAATAAAAAAATGGATAACTAATTGGAATCTATGTTGTAATCTCTTACTCTGCTGAATATTTTGTCCTGATTAGGTATTTGGTAATAATTACAAAATGTCACATAATCTAAATGGATTACAAATAGTTTTTTCCATCTGACCAGGATCTGAAAATTTGCATTTTATTTACGATTAGATCACACAATGAAGTTTCAAATTCTTGACATAAGTGATAAGCTTTACCAATAGAACCATTGGCATTAATGATGGAAATACAGATCTGAGCAGTGGATTTAATCTGGAGGGTCCAATTAAGACCACGAGAATATAAAACAAGTGCATTAAAGCTCTTAGAATAATGTTTTGAATAAATAAATGACTATGGTGATGAAACTTGTAAATGTCTGAGTTTGCTCATAAAGAAACGAAAGAATGAAATTGAGAGTTCAGTTTAGATTCTTAAGAAAAACCCATGAGTAAATGTGACTTCGGGTAACACTGTTTCACAGAGGTACAATAAAAAGATGTATTTTGTTCTTCAACCAATTCAGTTTTGATATCATTGGCTGGATGACACATCAGCTCATTTAAGATTAATAATACTTTAAATGCAGTACATAGTCTTTCCTGATGACACATTTATTTTTAAACACACGTTTTCCTTTATATCACTTTTATAAGAAATCATCATTTTGATTCATGGCTGGACTGTAGGTAAATTCAGTGTTCATTTTTTGGAAGTTTGTGGCATACAGAGATTATAAAACGATGAGTGATCCAGAGATGACACTTTCTTCCATGCCACCCACCCCTGCCTCTGCAGGTCCATCTTCTCAAGCTTACATCCATAATAGTGGGGGTCCAGAATGAGCAAGTAACTCCCCTTGTCCCCTGTGCACACCCCTAATATTCCCTTAGAGGAGTTGTCTCTGTCTCCTCCCATCATGACTGGGGAGCCGTGCTTTTCAAAGTGCCGATGGAGCTCCTCCACTGCAACCTGCTCCAGCTCTGCACCACCGCCTCTTACATGCACCACTTTACAGGGGACATCAAAGAGATAGTCGAGGACAAGGGACGCTTCAAACGTACCAATCCACTCCTTGGAGTTCGAGAATGACTCTGGTTTGTCCCCCAGGCTGACCAAGGCTTGTTGGATTTCAGGAAGGCTTGGAGGAGGCCTTTGTTTGTCCTGGAGTTGGGACCAGTTATGGCACAGCCAAGAGGCCATCGTTTGAATGGTCCGGTAGCCACATCCCCAACCCCTGTCATCCTGTCCATCACAGCCATAATGGAAATAAAGATAGTCTCCTATTATCAGAGAGCATTTCACAGCGTTTGTCAGTGGATTAAGAAGCCCAGCATGTACAGTCTTGGGTAAAGTTTTTAAGTTTATCTTCTTTATCTCCCCCTGTATGGCTCCACTTCCGCCCCAGTCAATCCCATCAACTCCCGTGTCAGCCACGATTTTGTCCATTTTTACAGTTTGCCTCCAATTGACATGTGTTTCGTAATTCACGTTACTTTAGTTTCCTAAATGAACCGAGCTTTTAGGGGCGTTTATTTTGTCGGCGTAAATACAGTGTTACTTCAATGGACGTTCGTAAGGCTATCTTTCCACCGTTTTGAGTTCCGCCTAGGAATCGTTCCTCCAAAAGATGCGTTCACTGGCTTTAGGACGGCTCTGACATTCATACATGCTGAACTTCTTTCTACTTCAAGCCGCTTCGGGTTCATTTAGGAATAATTTTGCATCGTCAAGAAAAAGAAAAACTGTTGCATGTGTTGAATTAAGAAAAGATGAAGGATTTGTTTGTATGTGCTCTAAAGAGAAACAGAAAATGTGCACTCAATGGTTTCATTGCATTTGCAGTCTGGCTGGCGGTCTGGCATGGCCTGACTGAAAAGGATTGTGTAGTAGTAAAACAATTAACCAATCAATAGTATAAATTGTGTGGCATTTTTTCATACAATGAGATGTAGCATGGAGTGCTTTACATAAACAAAACAATAACAATCATCATCAATCATCACCCCGGATCTTTAAAGTATTGAGACAAGCAGACAACAAGCAAAAATAAGAAATAAAATAATCAGAATCAGAATTAGTTTATTGATCCTAAACTGGGAAATTATGTTGTAACAGCAGCCTTTTTCCTGGTGAGCCAAAACAATATAGGAATATAAGAAAGACACACATAAAAAAATTACCTAAATGAAAGTTATAAGAATATAGCAGTATTTACAACTTGCATTTCCCCTAAACTTCATATACATTAAACACAGAATATAACACTTATTGGGCTCTCCAGCTGAAATTTGAAAACAGCAGTGGTGCCAGTAGAAATAAAAGTATGAATATGAAGTAAGGAATGAAAGTATTATGTAACACTGTTCACAGGTGGGTAAGCAGAGTAGAGTACACACAGGATATAATGATGAGGACAATGACAATATTCTACTTACAAGTGAGCTGTTGTACAAAATACACAATAATAATGTGCAAAATAATAACAACACTAACAAAGATAAAATAGCTATGACATTACCCCGTAAAGTTTTAATGGTGGCTTACACATTTCCTTTTACTTGCTATCCTCCTAAAGCGTCAAAGCAGACTTTGAAAAGGAGCATGACGTAAAGGTCATCCGAGGCACGCGGGGGCAGCACATCTCAACACACCTGCTGCTTTATTTGTTTTTTACAGTTTAGCTGAGTGCATCGCCAGTGCGTTAGTGCCTTAAAAAATGACGACCCGTGATAAGTCTGTAATTTTACTCTTCGTTATTTCAAGGTTGCTGTCAGTTGGGAGTGTAGCTAATGATGAAAAAGTAGAAAATGTTGACAAACTAACTCCAGACGAAACCGGGCTTGAAGTCAAATGCGGAGAAGTCAACATGGTATTAATCGTTAAATGGCTTCTTTTTGACCAGATGCGTATTCCGTTTCAGCCTGAGTATCTTCGTCTTGGATTAAACACAACGAAACAGAGATCATGTGAACCGACGGCACCAATGTCAGGCACTGAAATGATCATATCGGCTGGACTACAGGAATGTGGGACACAGTCCAGTGTAAGAGATGTGGGAAAGATGTTTGAGAACTTGGAGAAAAAGTTTGAATATTCGTAAAGCTCTCATTACACTTCTATTCGACAGAGGAAATAACATTTAACCTGTTGTATTAATGACAAAAAACTCATGCAGTGTGTTTTCTTGGACTACACTGCATTATGTAGACTACAGCACCTGAACCCCCAGTCCTGCTGCTCATTTTCAAAACAACTTCATGTCTGACGGCTTTGTTCTAACTCTACCTGGTTTACAGCTCAGAAAAGTACGAACTAACCCCACTGTGGCGTTTTGAAGAAACTGTAACTTCAGCCTCTGTCTGATACGCCTCATGTCAGCGACTAATTTTTTATAGCCCTTCTTCAAGCCTTCCCCACTGCTCCAAAGTAGTATTTTTCTGTTTGAAGTGGCAAGGGTAAAAATTTGGTCCAAATGTGACCCACAAAATTTGAAAGAGAGACAAAAAGCCCCAGAAACAAAGAGGAGATAAACACTTTGCTGTTTGAGAAGTATTACATTCATTTTATCTTTTAAGAAGATTCACCTGTTGACTGTGTTGTGACTTTTTGAACTGAGATTACTACAAATGAACACCTTACAAAACTCTGCCCATCTTTAGTATTGAAATAGAAGATTGTAACTTCATTTTGATTTGTAGAATTTAAAAAAAGCACAATACTACCTCTTTAAACCTAGATGTGTGCTGTTAACAGACTGTCAGTGTCACAATAACATTCATGCATACAAAACTGTCATATGGCTACAATGGTGTTTTTTTTAGTGACTGTTCTTTTTTACTCCTCTATTGCTTCTTTCCAGGTCTCTGACGAGTGGCTCATCTTTTCCAACCAGCTTCTGCTATTTCCCTCTGTGGTTCCTACCTCTTCTGGAAGTGTGATAGTTAGAGGGTCAACAACTGTCATACCTGTGGAGTGCCATTATAAAAGGTGAGGCAGTCATAATAAGTGCTCATGTAGGTACCTTGAAAGTATCCTGCAGCCTTTATCATTTTTGAGTTTGATTTTTTGTATGTTAACTTTATTAGGCTCCTATAAATGTACGTGATAAAACATATTTTATATAAACAAAGTCATCAGCCACAGTCAGTTTTCAATAACACTAAGTAATTTGTGCAATCTGTACCCTATGTTTGTGTCTGCCCAGAAAGCAGACAGTGAATGGAGAGCCAATAACTCCAACCTGGCTACCCATGACGTCCACTATCAGTGCCTTTGGCCTCCTGCACTTCTCCCTTCATACCATGGAAGGTGAGCTTTCTGTCAACATTGAAGAATTTATCTGAAACAACAATGTTTTCATGTATTTTTCTGTCTGCAATAGTATTGAAAGGGTGCTTGTCGTTCTTCAGATGACTGTTCCTTTCTGCGTAGTTCCTCAGTGTATCAGCAGGGGGAAGCAGTGTTTTTGGAGGCTAGTATTGAGGCCCCCTTTCATCCTTCACTTACTCTTTATGTGGACCACTGTGTTGCCACGCTGAAGCCTGACCCTAAATCTTCACCAAGCTATAAATTTATCACACAGCATGGGTAAATCTTTTCTTCAGGATAAAAAACATCTTAGTAAATGAATGAATTTAAAAAGTGTGTTTTTGCGACATTGAGTTTATCAAATGACACATGGGTTACGTATGACTGGATCATTACAGTTTGGTACAGGTGTCACTTAACTTTTACTTGATAGGGTTAAATGCTTTGTTTCAGCTCAGTGCCAATAATGGAACTGTGTGTCTCTTGCAGGTGTCTTATAGATGGTATATTGCCAGGTTCTTCATCCAAATTCCTTCCCAGGAAGAAAAAAAACAGACTTTGCTTCAGTGTCCAAGCCTTCCGATTCACCAGGGATTCTGGAGAGCAGGTAACAGGACTGTAGGTGACGGCTGCTGATATATTCATATTTTTCATAAAAAGACATTGTCACTGTTATTGCTAATCCATCTCAATGCTCAGTTGCAGTTGTCACATGAATGTCTTTGTATCTATTACCACAAAATGTACTGTGTGAGATTCAATATAATTAATTTGTTGATAGTGTTTTGACACTGTTAAATTGGCTCTTGTATTTATTAACTTTATTAATTTGAGTTTTTTCTTTTTAGATGTTCATCACTTGCCACCTTCGGGTCACCCTGAAACAGAACTCTCACAGCCATCTTGATAAGTCTTGCTTCTTTCATAGGCCCACATTCAGGTACAGATGCCAAATTGCTGTCTACCCCAGTTCATCATGACAAGGTTTTAAAGCTGGAATTTAAACTTCCTACCTCCAGCATTGTCTAAAGTAAAATGTATTTATAAGCTTGGCCATTTATAATGAAGGTCATTATCAGATTTTGTTTCTGTCTTTCAGATGGCATTCGGCAGATGCAGATGATGCCTTGTGTGGCTCTTGTCGCTCTGATGACGACAGTGGAATCCCTGGACAAAGACTAGATACAGGTTCCTAAACCCTTGCAAAAAATGCCATGCGCTAATTTTTGTGTTAATTTTACCATTTGTTTTAAAATTGAATAAGATCGTATCAACAGCAATGTGTGTATTTTATTTATATCTGTCACTAAGCCACAGTCACTAAGCTAATAGAGCTGCGCCTTAATTGTATCTGTTTAATACCAGCTGATATCAGCACTATTGACTTAGGCCAGTCATCAGCAAATTATGTGCTCTGAACTTACTACTATTACAGTAGTATCCAATGTTTGTTGTGTTGCATCATTTAAATGTCGGTGTGCTGGTATACCAAACCACTAATTCTGAGCAGAGACTTTTTGTTTTGACCAAAACACACACTGGCATAACGGAGCAGGACCCCAGATGCTTTGCCCACGTGTGTCATCTGTTATCATGGTCAAACATGGAAGAAAGCAGTGTGGAAGTAGTGCACCGTCTCTCATAAAGTTTAGCAAACAGCGCTTTGAATGTTACAATGACTTTTGAAGAGGGGAGACTACTAGCTACTATTTTGATACATCTGATCACTCGGCTCATTTGAAAGTCAGATTCCAAGAATTACTAACAGATAAAGAAAAAACAACAACTCTGCTATCAGAAGTGGAGATCAGCAGTTTTACACATCAATAACAGAACTGACCCTGATAGTCATGGTTTTTGCATCCTTTTAAGGCAGTTTGTGTTGTCTTTAACAGAAAAGAGACATGAGGCAGACTCTACAGTTGGGCCCCTCATCACATTGCCAGGCTCTCATTGGCCAGGACATCTGTCAGTCAATCCCTAAAGAGCCTCTCTTCAACTTGTCATAGGCGGGTTCAAGGACTGTTGACACCCAAACCATAAGTTTGATAACAAAGCATCCATCTCTTGGTCTTCTCGAGACTGTTGCATTATGAAGCCAACTAAGATTTATTTTGACTGCTTTGCTGCAGGGATTTACTAAAGCTTTGTCAATTTTTCAATACACAATAACTTACGACTGACAGAAAATGTTGGAAGGGGTGAAACTGCTTTAATGTAAGCCAAGTGAGAATCTAAATAAATGTATGGAAAGAGGGGCAAATTTCTTTCTTGCACAAGGTTTATTTGCCACCTTAAGATATGTGGGTTGAATAATACACGTAATAGTACATATTTTACTCACTGTAACCTTGAAGTAATAGCATCCGTATTACCACTCTTCAAACATTTGAACTCTCTGTGGACATGAAATTTGAACACTCCGGTAGGATGCAAGCATAGTGAAATAGTGTTGCTCTATTTTAACTGAGGATGCGCCCTTTACCAAATCTGGTGCTCAAGCTTTTCTTTTAGGGACTGTAGGACAGAGAAAGCATAACAACACAGGGCCAACTTCACAGAAATCCTCTTTATTAAACATAATGCAGTATTACAATGTTACAGCTTCATTCAGCAGGCATCTTTATCAACAGTGATATACAACTGAAAGTCAGTACTACACAGCAAAGATTAAATTAAAATGTAAACATAATTCTATCTATGGAAACTACTGATAGAATATAAAATAAGGGATTGAGTTACTCTTTGGTTATTTCAGGGCTATCAAAGGTCTCCGTGATGTAGGCAGATGTGTGTGCTGCCTTAGACAGCCCCTGCAGTTCTATCAAGGTTAGCTTCACTCAGCATGGAAAATTGGTTGTAAAATTCCTCATGGCTCTGTTTTTGTAGCAAAGAGGTCAGAGAACTACAATGGAACCTAAAATATCTCTGAGGCAGCAAGCATACTAGTATAAACAGACACTGGAGTAAGAATGGGGCAGCTATGCAGCCATGACATGTATATGCTTTATGACCCCTGTCTGCTATAGAAACACTATAGAAAGTGTGGTAGAACAACTGGCTGCTAGATATCAGGATTTCAACATTCATTTACCTGTAACCATAACATCAGACATTATACACATTTAAAATGAAAACTGACATATACGATCTGTGTGTATCTGGACTGCTCTGGCATTTCTTTTTAAAGCAACTTCATTAAAACTGCTCCAAAGATTGGCTAAGAAAACCCATCTTAAGAAGAGCAGGAATTACTTAAATATTTGAATTCAAACAGTTTCTTTAAATTTTGTTGCAAAGTTGTGTAACTTAAACTACTCAAGATTTTAGTGACTCTGCAAAATGTTGGTAAAAGCACAATTTGATGGTTTGCAAATCATTCAGAGTCTGCACAGTTCAAATAGTGTGTTTATGAAAACAATTGATCTTTTGAAAATTTTTGAGTAAGAAAGTTGTTAAATATTAAAAAATCCTGAAGGAAGACCAGTGAACTAATTACATTAATTTGAGACAAGTTAGTCACATGACTTGGTATTAAAAGAGCACTTCAGAGTCTCTAAGAAGTTGAAAAGGTGACTGGGTGAGCAAATAGTTTGAACAACTACAGAACAATATTCTTCAGTGAAAACATCAAAGAACTTGTGGAAGGTTATAATGCTATTAAATTCAGAAAATCTGGAGAAATCTCTTTACAAACAAGAGGAACAAAGCCATTAACTGATACCAGATAACTAGTGTTAGATTCTAACACTAGTCAACACTTGGCAGATAAATTTACTTTTGGTATTTACACTTGTCAGAGGTCAATAAACATCCTTTAACTGTACTGAATAGAAATGTACTTTAAACATGTTGTGTAGAGTTCAGCATATGGTTAAAACATGTAATCCCCCATGGAAAGAGGCTCAGTCTATGTAGTGGTGTCCTGGGTCTAAAGTTCTTTTTTATACAATTATTTCTCTTACTGTGTTAACCTTTAGTAATATTGGATTTCTTTATATGCATCTGTTTACCCCACATAATGTCAATGCTTTGATATGTGTGTTTCCAGTTTAAGTCACTGATCACAGCCGAGCCCCAGAGTCTTTCCTCCAGATAAAACATTGTGTCATTTACCTCATCCACATTCAGTGGCAGAGTGTTCTCAGCTGCCCTCTTCTCAGTTGAAATTCTTATTATTAATAACCACCTTTTTATGATAATTTTAGGCGGTGGACAAGTTTAAGTCCTCCCTTTTGTTCTTATGTCCTTTTAGTAGTTGATATTCAGTTAGGGCATTAGGTGTGTCTTATCAAGTGCTCTGGTGTGTTATACTGGAGTGTGTGATGTAAGTGTTGTTTTTGGCATAGCATGTCAGACAGTGTTTACATTTGTTATTTGATGTCTCCCTTAGTTGGCACCTCTTAACATAAAAAAGCTGTTCACATGTTAACATCCGTCAAGATTGTTGCGCTTCATTCTCTGTTATTTATTTGACAAACCACTTTTACCTTAGAGGAACTTACAACCGCTGTATTTCTGTTAGTGTGTGCAATAGAGATATTGTCCTGATAGTGGTTGAAAGGGCATGCAAGTGTAACATCATGTAACTACACACCATGCAGATATTGGCTGTGCCATGAGATCCTATTCATAAGCCACAAAGAAGAGGTGTTGACTTTAGCATGAACCTTGGCCAAGGTTAATACGCTGTTTGAATTGCAAACAAAAATATAGACTAACTAAATAAGGTAAAATCCCAGATCAAGAGTAATATTTCTAACTCCTCCTTTGAACATTAATGTGGTAATATCCATAGCCTTTTAAACAAAATGGCCTTTTAGGAAGCCAAATATTTTGATTCCTTGATTGAGAGGGCAATGGATAGAGTCAGAAACAGGGAAGAGAAAGGAAAAAATGTTGCTAGAGGCTGAGGGTGGGAGTCAAACCCTGGACACCACTACATAGACTGAGCCTCTTTCCATGGGGGATTACATGTTTTAACCATGTGCTGAACTCAACACAACATGTTTAGAGTACATTTCTATTCAGTACAGTTAAAGGATGTTAATTGAACTCTGACAAGTGTAAATACCAAAAGTGAATTTGTCTGCAAAGTGTTGAATGGTGTTGACCTTTGTCTTAAAGGTGGGGTAGGCAGGATCTGAGGAAGTGCCAGTATTTGGGAGAAATCTTGAATGTAAACACTACCCCTCTTTACCAGTTGTCCCCTCAGCTCCTCCTCTCCCCTCCCTCTCTGCTCCAGCAAGCCCTGCCCGCCCAAACAGACGCTCCTTTCAAATAAATTCAGATATAATGCAGATAAATACTTAAGATAATTACAAATGGGGCCCAGTCAAAGTGAAAGTAAAAAGCACTGGTGCTACTGTAGATGCCAACAGACTACCAGTAAACACAATGTTTGCAGGACTTCTACAACTAGGATAAAGACGTGACATACTCCAGGACCCAAGCTAAACAGTTTAGCGGCACTACAACACGCAGCACATCCTGTTTGACAAAAATTTCTTCTGCTACAGACGCTTACTTTCACCTGTCCACCTTTCAGCTGGAGAGGTGGTTTTCCTGTCCAGCTGAAAGGTTACAGTAAGATCCTGAAGCCTCCCCTATCATTTATGCAGATGTCCACCCGACTTCTTAGCTCTTGTCCGGTCTACCTCTGTTTTAAGTGCTGTTATTCTGCCAGAGTCTCCGGTTTTCTTACTTCGTTTTCTTGCTTGTGTTTTCCATACTTTCTGGTTGGTTTCTACTGTTTGTAGCTACATATTGTAGCTCATTAACTTTGTTTGGGCTTGTGCACGTTATTCGAGGATGTGGAGTGTGCCTCACAACAGAAGGGAGCAGTGTCTGCCTCACAACCAATCAGGTTGGAAGAGGCGAAGAATGGCTTTGTTTACCGTCAGAAGAGTGGGGCACTCATAAATGTTAAAATGTTGACTACACAGACATAACAGAACACAACAATATTGTTATATTTCCAAATGTCATCAATAACTAATAGCTATTGACTGATATTAAAAGCTTTTTTGTATAGACACTACAAAACAAAAAAAAGCTTCTTTAACGGAATCCTGCCTAACCCACCTTTGAGTTGTAACTTGGTCATGCAACACTAACAGTAGGATGCATATCACATTTTTATTTACATAGGTTTCAAACGGGAAACGGTGCTGCACCCCAACTTCTGTGACCTCAAGCTTTATAAGTTACTATTACTGATGATGCTTTCACTAAGTTTTGGACTATTTCTCTATGGTCTATCCATCTTATGCTTCCAGCAAGATTTAATTTACGAGAACAAGAACTACACAAGCAAAGATCTAGACAAAAAGAAACAAGACCACTAAGAGTAACAAGTGCTTCAGGTCCATTTGGACACAGGTACTGGCACACGCTGTAAAAGGCAATGAACAACAATGAGTAAAGTTTTTGTTTTGTTTTTTAAAATAAAATAAGGAACATCAACAATGAAGCAATCATTCAATTTAAGACCTTTCATTATCACCATCAGTTAACTTGTCTTCCCCACAGAATGACCAAGGTACCTAGTGCTGGGTCACTCAAACACGGAACATAAATTTCCAGAGTAGAGAAGGACAGTGGGAGTCAATCGTAACTGGAAGACTCACTCAACAGTTGAGGACAACATTGGAGAATGGTCTAGCTGAGGGCACAGTGTTCTCTCAAGAGCTGGTCTTAAGCTTTCTGTGAAAGTAGAGAGAGACTGTGTGGATCGAATGGAGTTGGGCAATTCATTCCACTATTCAGGGACAGCAGAAGAGAAGATTCAGCTATAGTGATTTAGGGACCCGATGTGCTGGAAGCACCAGGTGCTTTTTTGCTGGACTTGAAGGAACCTGTAGACCTAGATGAGGGGTTCCAGGTAAACAGGAGCAGTTTTGGTGACTGCTTTTTAAGCAATGATTAGAGTTTTGAATTTAATGCAAACTGCAAGCAAGGAGGCCTGCCAATAAGGAGTTGCAG